ATATAACTATAATAGAGACTAGTAGAAAGAAGATAGAAGAGATAATAAGTATAGATATTATTAAGAAGACTCTAATTAACGATTAAGTAAAGAAGAAGAGAGGAAATAATATATTAATAAAGAAGTAGAGTAAAAAAAAAGAATATTGAAAATCTCCTAGATAAAAAACTTAGAAAACTTAGTAGAGTAGTAAGTAGAAGAAGTAGAGGGGAGTTATTAGGTAAGTAGTCTTAAGAGAGAGCTCTTCTAACCTAGTTGAATATCTTATAAAATATAAAGCTAGTAGGAAATAAAGAATACTAGTAATACTAGTAAAGAGGCTCTTAGCTAAAGCTATTTAAAGTATAAAGCTTATAAGACTTCTTAACCAAATAAGTATAAGATCTAAAGTTTAGATAATTAAAGCTACTTATATAAGGTTAGTAGAACTAGATAAGAAAACTAGTTAAGGGTAAACCTTATTCTAGAATTAGTTACTATTAAAGAGAGAAAGCTATTTTATAAGAGAGATCTTTTAAGAAAACTAATACTTTTTATATAAAAGATATATAACGTGGTTTATCAGCGAGTCGATCATATCACCGAGTCGATCACTTTTCCTTGGCACTACCTCCTCAAACTTCAACACACGTTTTCTTCAACTATTTACCATGGAAATTCAAACTCAAGAAGCGCGAATTACTCTAGCTATCGAGGCTATTCGGTCATCCAAAAAACTAAGCAAACGCTCTGCGGCAAAGATCTACAATGTACCATATACGACTCTTTCCGACAGAATGGCTGGCCGAACCTACCGCCCAGATTCTCAAGCCAATTGTCATAAGTTGACTGAGTTAGAAGAGGAAGTGATTATTCGGTATATACTGGATATGGATTCCAGAGGATTTGCGCCCCGGCTCGCTGGTGTAGAAGATATGGCTAATTTTATCCTTGAATCGCGGGGGGGAAGACGCGTCGGCAAGCTCTGGGCCCATCGATTCGTACAACGACAACCAGACCTTAAGACGCGTTTTAATCGCGTTTACGACTTCCAGAGGGCCTTATGCGAAGATCCTGACGTGCTAGGCGCATGGTTCCGGCTAGTAGAGAATATGAGGGCGAAATATGGGGTTACAGACTCCGACTTCTACAACTTCGACGAGACAGGCTTTATGATGGGTGTTATTTGTCCTAGAATGGTTGTTACTCGTGCAGACCGACGTGGTAGAGGCAAGGCAGTTCAGCCAGGCAATCGGGAATGGGCTACAGCAATTGCCTGTATTAATGGGGAGGGCTGGAGTATTCCTCCATTCTTGGTAGTTCAGGGCAAGAACCATCTCTCCAACTGGTATACCGACGGCGGCCTCCCACCTAACTGGGTTATTAAACCGACAAGCAATGGTTGGACAAATAATGAAACAGGCCTGGAATGGTTAAAGCACTTTGATAAACACACTACAGCTCGTGCAAAGGGTCTGTATCGAATACTAGTTTTGGATGGGCACGAGAGTCATGAATCGGCTGAGTTCCAAGACTACTGTACGAAACACAACATTATTACTCTTGGACTACCTCCTCATTCATCCCATCTAACCCAGCCACTTGATGTTGGGTGCTATAGTGTGTTAAAACGAGCGTATGGTCGGCAGATTGAGACGTTTATCAAGGCCCATATCAACCATATTACAAAGGTTGAGTTCTTTCTAGCCTTTACAGCAGCATACAAGGAAACAATGACAGTCCTAAACTGTCAGTCTGGATTCCGCGGAGCTGGCCTAGTACCATTTAACCCGCAAGCAGTGCTTTCAAAGCTTGACGTAAGGTTACGGACTCCAACTCCCCCTCGGACGTGTAGTGCCAACTCCCTCCCCTGGGTGTCCCAGACCCCTTCCAACCCAACTGAAGCCCTTTCACAATCAACTCTTGTACGAAATCGTATAGCCTGTCATCAAGGAAGCTCGCCAACTCCACTTTTTCAAACAGTTGCTGCGTTAGCAAAGGGTACAGAGCGAATGGCACATGAGATGACCCTTTTGTCTGCTGAGGTCCGTACCCTTCGCGCTGCAAATGAAGGCCTAAGTAAACGCCGTAGGGCTAAAAAGACTCGTGTCCGCCAAGGAGGGGCACTTATAGTAGAGGATGTACAGGATATGTTAGCTCAGGAGGATGTAGATGAGCAAGTACGACGCGACATGCGTGAGGCGGGGGTTGGTTATAAGGAGGGGCAACCTTCTAGGCGGCGCTGTAGAACTTGTGGAAAAGCTGGTCATAACGCGCGAACTTGTCAAGAAGTTATAGATATATCTAGTTCGTCAGATATAGAGAGCGATAATTAATTTAATATATTGTGGTTGATTTATTTAGGTGTAAAGTTCTGTGCCAAGAAAAAGTGATCGACTCGGTGATATGATCGACTCGCTGATAAACCACGTTAGTTAAGAAGACTATATTTTAGTATTATCCTCCTTTTATAATTAACTTTATATATAGGGGGCGTAGGGGGTAGAATAGCTAGGGAATATAAGCTGTCTAGAGTCTTATATACTAATTAGAGTAGCTTATAAGTGGGTAGACAGGCTAATCACCTGACCCGGAGTTTTAACCGGCCAAGTCAAGTTGGTGCCTCGCATCGGTAAGGCAGCAAAAACCCCACCAAAATCCATAGTCGCACCCGCAGATCGCTTCTAAATACCACTTTTAAATCTAATTATAAGTAAACAACGGGATAAAAAGGCAGGATTTTAATATAGGTACTAATATAACCTAATACAACGTGCTAAACAATTTAGATACGATTTGCGCTCGATACGGGCTGTTCTTTCGTGCCTACTAAAACTTAGGTTACCTGACCCGTTTTTTTCGGGTCTGTTCCGGGAACACTGAGAGCCAACCAACCCGAACGCTGAGAGCCAATCAACCCCTGTCTCGCTTAGAGGAAAGACAATGTATATAAGATTGGGATGGGAGCGAGGGAGTGAGGCTGACCGAATACCACCCCTGAGACGAGTTCGAGAGAACCATTATTATCCTTGGTGGTGTCATAGTTTGGTGTTTGGGTGTTCTCTGCTTGCTCTTGCTGAATTTAGGGTTGAGCTCCTGATGAGATAGGAGGAGATATTTGTATTTAGGCCCCAGCACTTAGGAGTCCTACGAGCAGAGTTGCTATCGCGTCGTATTCAAGCAATAGTAGTGGTGGCTAGAACGTTTAATATTAGTTTCTGCATATTGCTTATCATCACCAAACCCGCTAGACCTATTCCAAACATCTTCTGATTTTACTAGCGCCCAAATCAAATACTGATAATTCGGTTTCAACAACGCGACAAAAGTTAGTTGATTATTCACGAGGGTGAATTCAACGTAGTGTAGTACCAAATATTGATATCATCAAGGGGAGTATGTAGTTCAAAGTTCCGATTCAATGATCACGGTGTCCACTCCTGTTTCTAAAAAATCTGGATTAGATGACGGTATTTGCTTTAAAGAGAAGAATCATATATGAAAACCAATGTAGCACCCTTTTCTTTTCTTTCACTCCATCCAACATCACCATCTTTTATAGTAAATCAGGGTGTGTAGGTGTCTCGCTGGCTTGTAGCTTAATGTCGAGGCCTGTTGGGGTACGTCTAGTTGCGCCAAAGTTTACCTTGGCTTGAGCCCAGTTCTGCATCTTAGGTATTTCGTCTTCGGCTCGTGTAGAAGGCATTTGAACGACAGCGCGATAGATATTTGTAGCTGCTGATTTAAATATGAACTACAGCATTCCAATCCCCTGTTCTCTGATTCGTTCCTCGTTGGCATCCCAAAGAGTTCCCATGTAAAAGAAAAAAGGGGTATTGAGCGCGCCGTCAACTAATTGGAAAAGCTCCTTGAGAAGCACCAGCGAGATTTGGCTGCCCTAGCACTCCTCAAAGTCGACCGTATTCTGCCTCTTAAGCACTTCATCAAAAGCTTGGTCGTCGATATGATCCAAAAGGTGATGCCTTAGAGTATGTCAGTAAAATCCCTTTCTCTGCAGACTATTTCCAGAAATGAGGGTGGATATACAAGATATGGAAGGATTGCATGTTTGAGGAAACGTCAATCCATCACTTGGAAGGGGCTTCCACTAGCTTGATTACAGCTTTCAAGCTCCTTGAAGCCCTTTGCAGCTGTTGGAGTTGCTTTGGGAACATGTTATGAGGACTCATTAAGCCCCAAATAAAGGTCTGAGCTTTGACAATGTTGAAATGTTTTTTTAAGAAATCGCCAGCCTCAATCAATGGGTGGAATCCTAGATTGCCTTTGGGCCACGATGAATTATTTATCTGCCGTCTCCTTCTCTGGTAAATGCTTGATCAATGGCGTGTATGCAGGTGGAGCGATGTGAGCTTTCTGTTCACTATCATTAGACTTGGGCTGCTAGGAAAAAAGACGTTGCATACAGGACAAGGTAATCTATAGGCTAGAAAGCTACATTTTACGTCTGAACAGTGCCAGTAACGCACATTGTTTGTGATAATAACACTCGTCTAATACCCCTGCATTACTGTAAGATCAGCTTCCGAAATCAAGAATGGTGGGGGAACGAATGCCATCATTCTTGTATGGAACAGTGACCTGAGTGACTAAGAGTGTGGGACACGGATAAATTGTTCCCAGACTGAGTTAGGACGGACTGGTAATCTTAGATTGTAGAGAATTGAGAAGATTCAATACAAGGTCATGGCTTTAAGTAGGTTCTTAGAAAGATTTGATGAATTCAAGAAGAAGTATTCACTATAGCGTTAAATATAAAGAAGATTCAATGGTTAAAATTTACTTTCTAGTGAATTTAAATTGATTTTTAGCGAGTTAATGAACATGGATTTATTAATTCTGATTGTTCAAAATAGCTCGTATAATAAATTTAGTTGTACAAGGCCTTGAGAACAATATATTTTTCTAATTGAGGTGTGTCCAGAGTCATGACTACGTCTTTTAGTCTATTTCTCTATTTATATAGATAGTGCTGCTAGGATGTGCCTTTACCTGCCCACTTCCTAGTGAGGCAAATCCATAGTTTTGGCTTCGACATCACCATTCACAGCATTCCTCTCCTTGGAGTTGCTGGGAGAATCACTTGAAATATACTCCAGGTGCTTAGCAACAAAGTCTACATGTAGCTATAGAATGTGAACCAGAAGAAGCAATAGCCAATAGCGACTTATTCATATTTGTAAAAGTCCACTTTGCCGCTTTCCCACTTGGATTTGTGATACTAATATTTTTCGCTTGGATAATTTTGCAGACCTAAAATGTTCTCGTCGATTAGCATGCTCTAGTTCTCGTCTTTTTCTCAGAGTTTGGGAGAGGCACGTACTGATGGGCCACTGCAAACTAAGCTTCCAACGACTGGATCGTATTTGTTGGAAGTGCCTGAGAAATTCTCGAAGAGGACATCTTCAATCACCAATGATGACTGAGTTGGACAATGTTAGTTTACGTCCTATTCATCTCTGAGGATAGGTTATCAAACAAGCTGAAAAGACTTACAGGATACATGTTGCAGAGAGTCTAGTTCTTTTGGCTGTAGCATTGAGTCAACTCGATAGCATCTGTCAAACAATCAGTATTGAATACATGAAAGACACGGGGAAGGTTGGATACCCACAGTCAACCTTAGTGTTATGCATTCCATTATAAGTAACATTGCGAACGTATCCTACTCCGCCTCCGGCATCTTTCACTGTGCTACCCGGTGCAACCCCTGACCATACCTTAATACGAGCGCCATCACCGGATGTTTTCATAGACACATTGTAACCGTAGATATTCTCTGGTCACGGTATTAGCAAATACCAGGGATCAACCAGGTACCACGAGGAAAACGAACCAAGTATATCTCTCTGTGCAACATACTGTCCAAGAGACCCGACTGAAATCCCGTGCGAGTTAATGCACTCCATATTTTGAACGACGATATTTGTACTATTTGGCTTGAAAGAGACGCAATCATCGGTGTTGGAGACATAGGAATTTTGTATGGTTATGGAGTCACTCCTGTAGGTATCCCAGTCATCTGAAATAAAACTTAGCTTCAATGTACAACCACTTATCAGTTTTTTAGAAAACTTGCCTGAATTTTTGACTGGGTTTGCACTCGTAGACGCAACCTTGAGGTTCATATTATCAAAGATGATATCTGAGCTATTTGCCACCAAGTGGAACCAGTTTGGGGTGTTGATCAGTTTCAAATTGCTGATCGCCCCACCCTATTTTCACCGTGAGTTAGCATGCACTTCATTGTAGAATGAATGAATCTTTTACCTTGAGCCCAATAACTCCAAACAAAGTTGGTCGCATTACGGTATTATCCTCTGCCCATGTATCCCACCACGCCTGACCGTTCCCGTTAATAGTTCCTCCGCCATAAATATTAACATCACGTCCTCCAAACTGCCAGAACAGACTCGCGGTCTGATAAGTATATTTGAAAGTGTTCTCGACCCAGAAATCAATATCGGGAGTGAACGAAAGCGTTCCCTGAATGACGAAATCAACAGAATCAAGGAACGTGAGATCAAGAGGGTTGCCAACTGTGTATGCCGCATCTAGTAGAGCAATAGTACCTCCTTTGTTGCATGTTTTTGCAGCTGAGAGTATTGCTTGACTGTCATCTTCTCCGTTGCCTGCTGCAGTAACGTAGCAAATCCTTGCGGCGTCTCGAGGAGGTGAAATGGGGTGAGGCCGTCCATGATTGTAAGGATATGGGACTGGATTTGGACGAGTCGGGAGGGCTCCCTTAGATAGGGACTGTCCGTCAACGAAAGAATTCAGATACGATAAGCAGAGAGTAACTGCGTTTAGAGTTGAGAGACGCGTTTTCTATTCGCTGTTTGGACTTCCAAAAATCAATGACACGAGGCCTCGGAAACCTGGGACGGGATGAAGTGTTCTCAAAGAGGGCCACGCGATCCTAATTTAAATCATCACGAGCTTTTGCAAAGCTTTGCAAGCTACTGTAGCTACGGAGTACAATGCCCGTGTTCATCGTATTCGTCCACTACGGTTATACGGGCCAACATTTTCCCACTGAAATTCAGGGGCAAATTTAAACGTGTGCAGATGACGAGAACGACTCGGGGAGTCACAATTAAGACAACGCTCAACATTTCAATGAAGAGATGCTGGTGAAAATCCACCGGCGGGCCTCCTTTGAGTATGGGGCTATGGGGTTTTGCGGGGTTGCCTTCAGGCTAAAATAGCTTGCTGTGGACTACACTATGTCACAAACGATGCCCCTGGAGAGCAGGTAAACATGGGGACCCCGCCTCCGCAAACCCCACGTTTTCCCATCTTTTTCCACCACTCACGGATTATTCAAAAGATTTCGACTGTACTCATTTGTCACCTTTGCCTTTAATGATTTGTTTGTGTTTTCACAGAATAGCCCACACGTCCTCTACAGCCTGCCCATACTCACTGCCGCGAAATATTTTCGGAATTTGTCCAGAACCTTGCAAATCACCTCGTTCTATTTCGAGATGTTGCTCTCCAGAATACAGTCTTCTTGGCTTCCAATGACCCTGATTGCAATTGACTTTCTCATTCTTGTCAATGCCGATATGTCCACATTCAGCAAATGTCAATCACCTACTTTAGATCCGCTCACAGACTGTCCCTCAAGCTCAATTTTGGTTTCTGCCACTGATAGCAATGCAAACTTCACTTCCATCCAATCAGCGATACTTTCCCTGGATGAAACAACCCCATCAACAATCCTTATTCTTCCAGGAATATACAATGAACAACTAAATGTCACAAGGTCCGGACCTCTCACACTTCTTGGCCAGATCAAAAATACCAACCAGCAGAGTGAGAACACAGTCACGATCTCATGGGCATCCGCAAATCAAAACAATGGAATATTTACGGATAATGCGTTTACTTCGGTATTGACAGTTGCTCCGACTCTGGAAGCTAGTCTCACGGGAGCTGGCCCCACTGGATACGCAGTCCCAGAAAATACACCTTTTGGAAATATTGATTTCAAAGTGTATAATATCGATTTCAGAAACGTTTTCTCCGAAAAGAGTGATGGGCCATCATTGGCAGTCAGTGTTAGCAGAGCGAATGCTGGGTTTTATTATTCTGGGCTCTACAGTTATCAAGATACCGTAAGTACTCCGCTTTCTTTGCTTGACATGTTTACTGAAAGCAAAACACAGGTTTATGTAGGAAAATTGGGAAACGCATATTTCTACCGAAACACCATAGCTGGTCAAACCGACTTCCTTTACGGGTTTGGAACGGCTTGGATTCAAAACTCGACACTCTCCCTAAGAAACTGTGGCGGGGGAATCACAGCGTGGAAAGGCGTAAACACCACCTTCCCTAACAAATACGGAGTGTTCGTCTCCGACTCGACAGTTGTAGCAGCCAACAGTTCCATTGCCCCCACCATAGCTGGAAAATGCTTTCTCGGGCGACCATGGAATTCGCAACATTTAAGTGTGTTTTCAAATACTTATCTCGATGCTACGATAAACGGAGCAGGATATAAAAAATGGTCGACCGATCCGGCTCAGGAACATTTTAACGCTAATTGGACCAAGATGGCTGAGTATCATAATTCGGGTCCGGGTTTTGATTTACATGCTCGGATTAAGGGCAATGTCACGATTGAGTTTACGGCTGACCAGGCCAGAAAGTATGAGACGCCAAAAGATGTGTTTATGGATGTTAATGGGACTCAGCCATTCATTGACTGGATTGATAAAGATGCTTATACTTGGTAGATCCGACCACAGTTTCTCTAGATAAGTGAGATAACCAAACATATTTAATACTTATCGAACGTCATATTCTATCCCTGTCCATCCAGAAAGTCTTGAATTTTGAACTGAGTACCTAAAGCATTGACAGGTTCTTTCGCTAAAATCATCACATTATCACCACATCACTCATCAATTCGTTTGTGTAATCGGCCCTTTAAACTCAGCCTTTAACCAAACCAGAACTACAAGTGCACACTAGCAAACATCTGGAATAATGGAATTAAATGAAGAATCAATTCTGGATCCTATCTGATGACTATGTACCTGCTTTGAGCAGCTTGCCTTGAGCAAAGAAAATAAAGTATATACAAATAATCCCTTTTCAATAAAGTATATTAAAGAATGAGTGTCCAAAATCCAGCTTTCTCAAAAGAACATTTAATCGTCCATTAGCACCAGAAGCACAAGTAACACCAATATCACGTGGCGTATGTGCGCACAAAACTGCTGCTGTACCACCAGCTGACTTAACACTGAAGCTCTTTACGTGAACATCACATTCGTCCTTGTTAGAGCAGTTGATATTCGCCACGGTCCCCTTGTAATTTTTGCTTGTCGTGCCCTTGAAGTTGTTGAAGTGGATGCCTTCTAGTTGAGCTTCACTAGGGTGGCTCGCACAGTAATCAGCTTCCTCGTTGTAGCAACTCTGGATTTGAATAGCGTAGTCAGAGTTGTCAACTGTAATGTCTTCGTAAGTGACGTTTTTGACGACTGCGTCGCCGTAACCACTGGGATAGTATTTGATTCCAACGGCCTTGGTAGAGTCTTTCATTGTGGCACCTTTGACGTAGATGTTGGAAACAGTGTCAAGATTGGTTTTTCCAAGAGAGCCTACAGAGAGGCCGTGGGAACCGATACAAGTGACATTCCTCACATCGACGTAGTCGGCTCCTGGTGAACAATCAGTTTGCATACTTGAGAAGAGAGGCTGCAAAAGGGGAACTTACCAGGTTTGAAAGCAACACAATCGTCATCGTTTTGTACATGGAGATTGGCCATAGTAATATGACTCGCACCAATATCCCAGCCATCAGTGTTTTTGGGTGGTTTGCTCGAGGAAGATTTTGCCGAGAGGTCAATATTCGTATAAACGATATTTGTTGAACCACTGCCAGTAGAATGGAAAACATTTGGCGCGTTAACAAAGCGCAATTTATCAACAGTGATTCCGGATGACTTGGTGATAACCATCAGTGTTGGTCTTCCATAAGAGCTGTCTGAGGCGAAGCGGTCCCACGCAGCTTGTCCATTTCCATCAATTAAACCAGAACCCGTGACAGAGTGAATCTTTGCTCCTGTGATACTTCCGACGTTGATGATAGCTTTCTTGCCGCCCCAGTAGTCGAGATCGTTTGAGACTTTCATGGTTCCCTCGATCTGGAAATCGCAATTGCTGCAACCGGTGAATTCAAGCGTTGATCGGATGGAGTAGGTTTGTTCTGCCGAAAGGACAATGATTCCGCCCTTTCCACAAGTCTTGATGGCTTCTACGATAGCTGGAACATCATCCGTGCCTTCTTTACCAGCCGATTTCGAAGTACATGTTGCGGCGCTACTGTACCCTCCGTTGTATTCCTGAGGAGTAAAACATTGGAGAAACTGGTTAAAGCAATGACAATTTGTAAAAGTTTAAACATGATGAAGTTCAACTTCGCGTAAAAAGTAAACAATGACTAGAAAGTTGCAAGGCCGATGAGAGAGGAGGGAAAGAAGAGTCTTACATTCATTAGAACATGATTGATATATACCAAGCTCTCGGAGAGCTTAGGCTGATAGAGAAATTCTTGATCCATTATCCCTGACTTGGGAGATTAATTGAGGGACAGACCTAACTACCCCAGAATTTCTGTCAAGGCGACGATAAACGAGACGTGGAGAAACCTTGTTCCATGTTCCATGTTTCATGTTTCGTGTTTACATCCGGAGGCTCGAATAAGGGATAAATTACAGATACCCCGCGCGCGGATCGAACTACAATAATCTTAAATTTTTAATGCGAACGTGACAACTTCGTAAGAGGAAGCCTTTTCCGATAACATGTGTCATGTCATTTGCTGACGATTTTCGAACCCTGTACAGCAGTAGAAGAAATTTGAGTAGATGGAATGAAGCGTATTTTGTGACATGTGGACGACGTGCTTTGAACTTTTCTACCGGTATTTTCAAAGTTTAGAGTTGCGCATTTGAAAGGTATATTTATATGGGACGTACAGTGGATTCAGTTGAAAGGAAAACGAAATTTGGTAATGGGGTGCTTGTATTGATGTAACTAGAGAAAAAAGAGCACTATCTCCGTAAGTGCGAAGAGAAAGGTGTTATGGGACCCTAGTACCCACGGCTTAGTACCCTAGATGGGTTTATACTCGCTATAGCATGGTAGCGATAGGGAGGATGGGCAATAAAGGCGAGCGCGCAATTTTCACAAAGGTAAGTCTATTATATAAATTGAATTTCAAAGACGCTGAACATTGAAGAAAAATATGAATTAAACACTAATTGAACTAAATTACTTAAAACTTCATATATAGACATATAATAGTATAGAGGTAAGACGTAATATAGGTTAGGAAATCGCTAGACAGGAGGATTATATTTATTTATAGGCCTAAAACTTTTGTAACTTCGCTCCGTAAGAATCATATAAACATCTACAAATTAGTCCACAAAACCCTACGATATACATATATAAAACAAACAATAAAGAATTATATGAAAAGATATCTGAGCTTTGACAAGTATATGATGAATTCATGGCCAGTGCTTAGGTGGAGAGGTATTGCGATAGCCCAAACGACTACGCTTTTAACAATAATCCTTGAAGCAATTCCCAACTTACCAAAAAATCATCTACTAGATTCAACGCAAAACGTCACCGGTAATCTGATCCTACCTCCTTTCGAACCAATGCGCAAAGCATGGCTGAATCCCTACAGCCAATATATCCGCAATGCCAATACTACAGTTCCTAAAGCAGAATGCTCCGCTGATGCTTGTCTTCTCTTTGCGAAAGCGTACTGTAGGTCAAGGTTTCCGATTATCCGTTCTCGACCAGATCAGGTAACCTCAGAAAAACCCGGTTTGAGGTGGGGTGCGGCTGAAGATCGTTATTCAAGGGTTTCCCCCGCCTCTGCTGTACAGTACATACATGAACGAGCACAGTACGGAAAAACTACCGTATCGGCACCCCTGGGGACCCGAAGCCATATTCCGCGCTCAAAGCAATAACACTCGTTCTTTTATACCAGACACATTCATATACTCCGTACATTTCCTACCATTTCATAATTCCTTCAGGCTATAACAAAGCGCGAGCTCACTTTACCCCTCCTGCTACGCTGAAAGTCGAACTGGGCCACCATGTCGCAACCCCTCAAAAAAGCCTCAGTTTTTGCACTCAAACTGTTCTATCAGATACGCAATATCACGATGCCTTCCTTTAGGGAAAAGAGGAAGTAACTGGGCTCTCAGAGACAAGCTGGGTGTGAACTGCTTTCTAGGCAGATTAGAAAGAGGGTGTAGTATGTTCTAGGCAGATTAGAAAGGGGCACAACCAGCCTTGACCAGACCCGCAGGGTCAGAAGTAGCCCTGGAAATTGATGATACAATGCGCATTGCTTCCCTCCTGGACGATATCTCCACAGTACCACACAAGAGATACACGCTCTACCATGGTCGGACCTGTTGCTGTTTTTAGGCGGGGAGCTGCACGGAGGAAAATCTGATGTTTTTCCCGCACATGGAGAATCCCCGCATTGGTATGCCGTACCTTGAAGTCAAACTTGTGCCTGAAACCTAATGATTAGACCTCTAGCTCCGTCTCATTAGCATAAACTCTACTTGTGAGAGCCTCGGCAAAGACAGGTTGTTTGAGGACATAAGCCACTTTTGAAGGCAGTGAGCGTAGGGAAGATTAAGAAGCACAAGATGTTGAGAATGCAATAGAAATAACCTCATTCTCCCAGCCTTTCTGACGCACACATATATACCAACTTTATTTCCCTTTGCTTTGTTTGCTTTACTACACATTCGTTTCTTATCAATACGAGTACACACTTTCAAAATGCAGTACTCTTCTCTCGTCACAGGCGCGACTCTTTTCACTTCCCTCTCACAAGGACTGGTTCTTGATAAACGTGCTAGTCGCACCTCAGCACCGAGGTATGCCTAGTCGTGCAACCCAAGAATACTGCATCGGGAGAGTTCGCTAAACTCGGAGATGCAAACAAGGCATTGGGTTCTGGAACGGATACGAAGTGTATTTTCATCAACCCGGGAACTTATGATGAGAAAGTGACCGTCAACTATGGAGGGCTACTCACGATCTATGGTTATACTACCGAGTAAGTTTCTTTAGAATGCGTAATCATTAACATGGGGCCAATGAAGAAAACAGTACCTCAAAATTCGAAAGCAACCAAGTAACGATCACAACAACCACTTCCTCTGCGGCTACTGGAGGTCTCGACAAGAGTGCGGCAGTGAACTTTTTGAGCAAGGTTGGACTAAAGGTTTATAATATCAACTTTTCAAACACCTTCGGACTAAGTGGGCAAGCTGTCGCAATTGCAGCCAATGGGGATAAGCAAGGTTTTTATGGATGTCAGTTCTTCGGACATCAGGATACCTTCTACGCCAAAAATGGACATCAGTACTATAAGGGCTATTATATGGAAGGTTCGGTTGATTTCATCTTTGGCGGCGCCTCAGCTTGGTTTGAGAGTTGCACTATTGCTGTGAACAGGGATAAGGGTGTTATCACAGCCATGAGTCGTGGAGGGGCTGCTGAAGCTACTTGGTACGTCTTCAACCAGTGCACCGTCCGGGCTGCATCTGGCGCTACGGTTGGTGCGAAGAGTGTAAAATTGGGAAGACCATGGGGAATTTTCGCCAGAGTTATGTATAAAAACTCCGATTTGTCGGAAATCATCTCAGACGGAAGGTATGGGACAATGGCTGAAAAAGCTACGCCCGATTTCGAAGAGTTCAAAAATACCGGTAAAGGAGCCGATACTTCTAACAGGAAGTTCTTCACAAAGTCTACTGCTGCTGTCAATCAGTCAGCTGTTCTGACTGGAGACTTGAGCTGGATAGATCAAGCCTATTGAGGCTGAATGTGTTGTTCACAGCGATTTACTCCTGTTTACATTCTTTTCACCTGTATATACATTCTTTTGCTTATGAAATTTTCTCTACACCTTCTCAATTCACGGCCTTTTCATCATGACTTGTGTTCAATATGGGTATTCGGAATATATATTACTGTATCGCTTTACTGTATAAGACTTGAGACCTTGGCAAAACTGACAGAAACAAATGGGAGGTGAGAAGTGAGAGCTGGGGATAACACCTAACAACCGTTTGTAAAGTTTTCAACTACTACACAAGTTATCTTTTGGTTGTTGGGTCACAAGACACGAAGTGATTGGCTAATTTCCTCATCTCAATATGTTTTTTTGAGTTCAACGATGCGAGGCACCACGTAATAATAATAGACTTTAGCGAGAAGGTTCAGACAAAGTTTTCTACTATCTGCTGTGGTCGCGACTTTTGAAATGAGACTGTAGATCTAAGGGGGAATTGGAATTAAATGGACCATAAAGCGCTTTCCTACAGCGCTGAAGCGGGCTGAAGCCCATTAAATACCCCTAACTCTCAAGCGAGACTAGGACTCAAGTTATTACTAGCTATTGACCCTCTTAACCTTAAGTAGATCCCCAACAATTGCGGTCCATCTCTCCTTAAAATAGACAACATAGTGGTCGGGAGAACTCTATAATCTTTCGTTCTAGCTTGTAGATGTATGTTGCATACTCGGTATCGTACTATCGCACGTATGTAACAAGTACTAACGCATGAAGGTTATAAATTGTAGATTTGATTAATCTAGTAAAACCTCCCCGGCTTATATATTTACCGTGAGTGCAATACCGGTTGCGACGACTGACGGGCGTCGTTCAATATTAAGGGCATGCGATGCAGCCTGCCCTGCATGGCCCGTTGAAAGAACGTGTTTTGACCTTTAATTTGATTGCCTAACCTCGAGCCTTAGTAGGGCTAAGGCAAACTTAAATTAAAACCCTCAAGCGCAATACGAGTGCCGTCCGAACATTAACTGTAGCAGTGCGAACAGACCTGGTGATGAGGACGAGGGGCACCAGTGGGTGGATGGAACCTGGAACAGGGGAGTGATTATATGTACTATTTAGCAAATTCTGGGTGTCCTTCGGGACAAGTTGCGCCAATGGTTATTAATACAAGAAGTTATCCATCTATTCTCTGCACCCAAGTCGAATGTAGCAGATGAAGCGAATAGCTGCTTACTTAAAATCCCTTGGCACTTACATCATACACGTGATTGCGTTCCTCGTATTCAAGGTTTCCCAACCACCTTATCGTCGCATACCTATGTAGATCTAGGAATTTGAGTTTATGATTATCTATTTGGGCTAAACTTCCCGAGAATAAGCATTTCTTCAAGCACGGCTCTAATGAAAAGATGAAATTAAGGTTCGGCTAATAACCGGTTCGCTAAAAACAGGGAACTAGACTGCTGTAACTAGGATAATGCCTAGTTATACTACAGGGCTCGGGCTGACTAACGTCAACGTAAGCGAAACCAATACAAGTACAAGTAGATGCTACAAAAGTACCCTGGCCATGTAAAGCTAACATCTCGTGACCTCCGCTATACCCAAAGGCTGGATACTGAAATATTATTGCAGAATTATTTTTCTATTATCGAAGCAAATAGGATTTGCTTAATTTAGCAATAATCTATTGTATTTCGAAATTTAGAGAAATAGCTTAATAGCTTAAGAAATAGTCGAATGGTCTGACCTAGTTACAGGTACTATATATAGCTTCAAATAAGCTCGCGGGTTATAACTTTGGGACTGGGTAGCGTAGTGGTGTGAACAAAATAATACTATCCCTAATACTTATCTAAAGTCTCGAAGATTACCTCTAGAGGAGCCTCTCCTGAAACTTACCCTATCTCCTCCGTGGTCCTTGTCCCGCCAAGATACATTTTCGTGTTTGGCGAGCCCCTGATTTAAACGCGTCTCTTTTTATATAGAGAGTTATAAGGATCTTACGGTCGGAGTTTTAATTCTAACGTGGTACTATATATCAATAAGACATCCCCAGGTTTATATACGTTTCCCTTAACTTTTAGAGAAGTTATTTATAATACTAAATAAAATATTTTGATGGGTATACTAAAAACCACTTTACACGCTCCTAATTAGGTCAAATACATTCCTTTGGGGACAATGACTACGGAGGAGATACATTTTCTAAATCAAAAATGTTACACTATTACTTTACATGAAAACCACCTGCCGCTGTGGCTTCCACATATCACGCGGAAGTCACAGGAATGCATCAGTACAGTGGTTGTTATTGGACAAATGATTCCCGATTAGGATTCACTTGTTAGCTTTTGCTCTTGCAGCTAAATGGTGCTGTTCATGCGCCTAAAACCTATGTTCAGAATCACATGACCTTAATAAATACTTTTCAGGTGCATGTGGGTTGGGTAATTTGCTAAACAATATTTACAAAATGTTATTCTGAACGTGAAAAAAATCAAATTCCTTGGAAAAGGAGAAAGAAGAAGAAGAAGAAGATTCAATCACTTACATATAAGTTTAAGCGGATCTGAGCGACTACATCGTAAGAGAACAAAATATACTCGGTTTGATTCTGTGAATTCTCGAGGGCGACTCTCAAATCACAGCCGTCCGTGGCTTACGGCGTCATGTGCAGGAACTGAAAAAAATATATTGTCTCCGCAAAGGCCAACAACGATGCTTGTTGGACTTCCTCTTCGGCAAGCTTACCTACGCCCTAAGAGAAGCAGTGATACCACCACCACCACAAGAGTTGCGTTTGCCACACGGGACTAGGAATGTCATCTTACGTGTAATAATGTAAATACCGGGTTTGAACCGGGGGAGACTGACATGTTGGATTGTGGAGGCGTTGAGATGAGGAACGGAAGAATTATTTTTCAAGGTTCAAACATTTTATATTACTGGCGGGGAGAAGATCTGGGGATGAGGGTGCGGGGATGGGGGAGCGAGGCGAGGATGGGCCTGGACGGAGCATTAGTCATCAAAGGGGCTCCACCTGGTGCCGCCTATAATGGTCGTCCACCTCGGCATCTTGCCGATTCCAGGCTCCTTCCACTTTTGCTTATAAGTCTGACAGGAAACGTTGGAACACAAGCTCAGTAGTGCAAGCTTCACAAGAACAATGCAACACAAAACTTTCCGAGTTGTGGGGTACTATAAGAGGCTTTGGCAATTGCAACCTCACCAAAATCAGTGTTACTTTACCCTGACTTCCGGCAGAGCAAGACTTAGTTCCCAGCAATCTTCAACCTCTCGGATCCATTGATATGACCCATCAGTATCTGGGGTAAGATTATGGGGGTGTCTTGGAAGGCATGGTCTGGAATTCTTCTCCAGAGACTGGTGCATTTTCACGTCTTCTGCCTCCCACCGCGGGAGGCAGCAGATCAAGAGCGGCGTGAGCGTGTAGAGAGGCGCCTATGATGACTCTATAATCTATTTCTATTCGTGGAAGAACCAAACCCATATTTTCTCCGCCCAAACGGACGCCACACAGGGCATGGAGAACAAGAAAACATGGAGAAGATCCCGCAGCTCATCAGGCTTCGGGTGAGCAGAGACGCATGTTTGTGGGCTTTCCTCCGACCCCAGCAAGGATGGGGCATCATGTATACCGGGGATTGGCTATTGACGGTCCCTTCGCGGATTCATTCCTGAAAGCTTGTTGGCGTCAAGGTAACCTTATGCTGCGAGTGTGGGCCTGGGGAGATGTACGCTAATCTTTCCAACTGTTTACTTATCTTAAACTCCCTCCTTCTTCTATCTTTGTTTTTAATTGTCTCCCCCTCTGGAAGCCTGTGAAAAGGAGTCTTTTGGAGTATTTTGTATTCCAGTCGAACCGAACGAGGAGCTTAATTGCTTCCTCTGTTGCCTCTCAAGATGGTCACAAAATCGAGAGCGTACAACTGGTATGTGTCCGGTGATACAAGAAAGCATCCGAAAACTAACTGGTAACCTTCAGGTACATTTCTCTCGTGGCAGCAGGATGTATGGTATTTATGGGATATGATGCCTCCGTTTTTAATGCCGTTCAAGGCAACAAACATTGGCTCGTCTTCTTCGACGCTCCTGTACGAAATCCTTTGCCCACTAAGAAAGTCTCAAGACTGATGTTACATATAGAAAGGAAATCTTTTGGGCTTGATCAACACCTCCTACTCAATTGGCGCCATTGTCGCTGGATGGTTTATGGCAGGTCCTATTGTAAGCACAACACAGTTATTCAATCTCCTAAACTATACGATTGTGCTGACCCGCTCAGGCTGATTTTCTAGGTCGAAAATGGGGAATTGGAATCGGATGTGTTTTGACAATCATCGCAAGTTTGATTCAAGCCTTCGCTCCTCGTCACAAGATTGGTGTCTTCATTCTTGGTCGTGTAATCATTGGTATTGGACAGGGTATTGCTCTGAGTATGTTTAATTCCCATCACTCCCAATGTTATAGTATCACTAATGTTTTCTTCAGCTGCCGGACCTGTCTATATCGGAGAGATCACACCTGCCGAAATTCGAGGAAAGGTCATGTCCTTCTGGCAACTCTTCTACTCAGTCGGTTCCTTCATTGTATACTGGGTCAATTACGCCGCATCTAAGCACTCGGTCAAGCTTGGAGAATGGGACTGGAGAATAGTCGTCATTTTCCAAATGCTCGTACCATTTCTTATCCTTTTCCAATTGCCCTTCATCCCAGAAACCCCTCGCTGGTATATAAGACATGGAGATCGTGTTGAAGATGCCCGCAAAGCTCTTCGACAAGTCCGAGACACCGAGCAAGAGATTGAGGATGAACTCCTCCAGATTCGGGAGGCCATGGCTTTTGAGAAGGAAGTAGTCTCTGATTCATACTACGCACTGTTCAAAGATGCATCAATCCGCAGACGTCTTTATCTTGCTTTTGTCATTAATATCGGCCAGCAACTTACCGGTCAAGGAACACTCAACTCCTATTCATCGACAATTTACAAGAAGGTTTTCAAATCCGTTGATACCATCAATCTTATCAACGCCTTGAATGCTACGTGTGGTATTATATTTACCTTGAATGCTACGTGGACTGTCGATCGCTTTGGAAGAAAATTCCTTTTCATTGTCGGTGCAGCGGGAATGGCACTCTGCATGATGATCGTCCCCATAGTGGGCCTTGAAACTCCAGATATCGATGGCGGTAAATCGCTTCCTGTGGGGATCTCGATCGTATTCCTCCTCTTCTTGTTCATTTTCTTCTACAAACCATCTTGGGGTGCCACTACTTGGATTTGGACTGCCGAAGTCTTTTCGATGAATGTTCGGACTCAAGCAGTAGGGATGTGTTCGCAGATGCAAAATGTTGCGCAGTGTATCTTTAACCAGTTTTTCCCAATATTCTACGAAAATTGTGGATTGTATGTCTTCCTTCCCCTTTCCTACTCTTCTCGTACCGACATCCGGAAACTAACGCGAAGTCTTCGATAGAAAATCCTTCTTTTTCTTCATGACTGCCAATATCTGCTTAGGGGCATTCGTCTACTTTCTGGTTCCAGAAACAAAATCCGTTGCTCTGGAAGAGATTGATGTTCTTTTCGGTGGAGCCAATCATACTGAGAAGGGGGGTGATTTGTTAAATATTGAGGATCCACATCACGCTCATGTCGGCGATAACGAAATTCCCCTTGATGTATCTGAGAAGACTACTCCAGTCGTAAACACTATTGAAGAGCTCCCTGCCAAAGAGATAAAGTTGTAGATTCGTATTCAATCAGGAGCTGGATGATACTTGGTGGTAGCGAGTTTTAATGTTAATATATACCAAATTGTGTTCGAATCTGCAAACGTGGAATCGGAAACGACTTCATCTATTTTGATCATAGTTCATATAAGTTATAAAAATTCGGTATCACAGTTGTCATCGCGGAATGCAGAGTTCTTGGACGTGGGGCCCCAAGGTATCCACCCCCACTATGTAAAACGTCAATTCACTTTTCGTCCCAGGCATGAAAATTGCAACTGGTACGAGGTTTCCTACTCTCTACTCCACCAAAGCTACACTAGAAAAGTTACCGTCCTTACGCATGGGGCGAAGCCAGGTCGCGACGGGTACGAAACCCTGGAATGATGAAAGAATCCCCGGACCCATTGCAATAGAAATAATCATCCAAAACACATTTTAGGAATCTTGTTATATATTTCCGACGGTAACATGGAAAATTGTGCCAAAATATTCTCCTGAGGTGTCAGCCTCATCTGGCATCCTTCCTATACTAGAAGGTCCTCTATTCCCATTCAAAACCGTTGACGCTGGACGAGATAATACCCACCTTCCTAAATAAGGAGATACCGAATTTCATCAAACTCTAATCGAAATGCAGTTTCATGGCCCAGAATCTCTCCGATGATTAGGGTATCAACTGCGTATATTTTTCAGGAAACCCCCTTCGAATACGTGATCGATCATTGGAAGATAAAAAGGGTGCCAATAGTTCTTCAATCCGAATCAGCCATGCGTGGCTGACTTCCTTTCCTTACAGGAGTTCCTGATAATATGTATGTAAGCTGTGAGTCGTACAAATATACATCAGATGCACGTCGTAAGCAACGCTAGGTAGCTTGTATGTATATCGAGTGTTCTAATGGGGTTTGAGGTGTGGTGTCACACTGCCACACTTTGTCCACGATAAGAATTCGTTCCAGACCGCAGAATCACCTGGTTTGAGAAGTAGAGCTGCGAAGTTTACTTGTCCTTTTCTCAGGGATTTAACCACCCAATATTCCAATCGGAGACCCCAATCGTATTTTGCCAAGGTCCCTGGTCTCCTCTCAGCCACTCAAGACTCGAGATTGAAGGAGGATAATCGCCACTCCACAGTTGAATAGCTAGGGACCATAGTATTGCAGGATTAATTCGGCATTATGCCGCGCTCCTCCATTTACCCTTGTCGATCAAATGCGGGGAGACAGCTACAGTAGTGGCAGCTGGTAACACGTTAATATGGGATTGGATTCCCAGTCTACCGACGGCCCTTCGATCAATCAGTGACTGATCATTACTGATTCTTCTTCGTGGGATCTTCTTTTGTTCTTTTCATTTTTTTCTCACGACTCACATCGTGGGTTTGAGACGAGTTCTTCACAATGTCGCAAATATTTTCTTTCTCTCTCCTCTTCTTATTCCTCCTCACGGCCCAAATATCAGCCTTTACCCTCCTCGAACTCCTCAAAACAACCCCCGAACTCAGTACCCTTTACAATCGCGTAAATGCTTCCTCATACCTGACCGGGTTCTTCGCCAACTCCACAGATTTCACCCTCTTAGCGCCGAGTAACGATGCGTTTTCGAAGACGGCAATTATGAGCGATGAGGAGTTCACCGCGGTGATGCAGTATTCCATGTTGAAGGGCGGGTACCCGAAAGCGGCTTTGGATACGGAAAGAGTGTTTGTGAATAGTAATTTGAATAATACGGCTTTTGCGAACGTAACCGCGGGGCAAGTGGTGGGACTGGGACTTGATGCGAAGAAAGAGGCAGTGGAGGTATTAAGTGGAAATCGAACGATTAGCTCAAGTTCGAAGAATGTAAGATTCTCTGGACATCCTCGAGTGTACTTCTAGGAATTGAGGGCTTGGAAATGGGAATCCGAGAGTTTGTACTGACCAGCTCATTTAGATTGTTTGCGTCGGCGGGCTACTCCATATTATAGATGAAGTTATCTCAATACCCATTAGCTCCGTTCTTGAGATCACGGCCGCGGGACTAGAATACTTCATTGCTATTTTAGCGAAGGGAAACTTTCTCACCACTGGTAGCAGTTATGTCAACCCTGTCGTCTACGAGCCGAATATCACCTTCTTCATTCCAAACTCGGTATGTTTTCTCTCTCATCATGTCAAAAAGCCATTATATTCCTTTGTCAAAGCGAATACCAGCTATCCTTGTATTGTTTACTCCAAGTTTTGGGTGAAAAAGTCAATAAGAGAATGTAGACTAACCAATAATTTCCAGCCCGAAGCCCTTGCCAGTTTCAACGAATTAGCTAAAACAGCCACTCCTTCGGATTTTCAAACCAATTTCTTATACCACGTCATCCCAAACTTCGTGGGATATAGCCCAATGCTCACTGATGGCTTGTCATTAAAATCGCAGATGGGAACCAATCTCACTATTCATGTTCAGGATGGGCAGACGTATGTCAATTCTGCGAAGATCCTTCAAACGGATTACGTTATTTCGAACGGAGTAATTCATGTAATTGATAGGTGAGAGAGAAACACCAGTATCAAAAGTACATTGAAGGTTTTAATGAAACTAATATCATTGAAAATAGTGTTCTTAATGTAACAAACATCACCGGACCACCTCCTTCGACTGCTGGAAATAAAATCACACCAACAGATCTCTCTACCGCCTCATCTGCAACCCCCACTCCAGGATCAGCGTCTCCACCAGCAGGTTCATCTTCCTCCTCCAAGTTACCACTTAGTATCGGCGCGATAGTAGGAATAGCCGTCGGTGGATTCGCATTGCTTCTTCTCCTCTCGACCTTGGTATTCTGCTGTATTCGCTCCCAAAAGGAGAATAAGAGAAAGAGACTTTCCATAGCCAATACCCCGATGCAAGGCCTCACGTACGAAGGGCCAACTGGCGAAGCACTTTACGCAAACCGATACCACATGACTCGGGAAGTGGGAAGTGGTCGGTATAAAGTAGAACGAGATAGCGGAATGAGTCACACGGATGGGAGTCCATTGAGTGCGCAGGATGAGAGTGTGAGTCCTTTAAGTAGGACCGGGAGTGGGAGCATGGCGGGTTTGACGGGAGGTTATAACCGCAATGGGGGTTGGGATAGGAATGGGGAACACGGAATGGGACTGGGTGTTAGGCCGTTGAGGGTGGATACTAAGGGTGCGAATATTATAAGCAATGAGAGAGGAATGCCGCCTAGCGCGCATTCAAATGAGAGGCCGGTCATTCCTCAGAGGAGTCCGAGTCGAGGCGTGATCAATAAGGGGGGTGGGATGTTTTAAGGGAGGGACTCATGTATATATGACTTTATGAAATTTTGCTTCGGTTCTTAAGTGAGAAGCTGTCTATTCTACGAGTGGATGTGTAATTTTATGAGAATCAGCCTAGTCCTCGGCTGCACGGAAGTTCTTTTCTACGGCATCAAATACTTAGAATGAGCTTAACACAGAAACTGTAAACTTACATCTTTTGTTATATGATTTAAGATATCTTCAACTATAATTTTGAGAACCACTTCATCAAGGCATGAGCGTCGTTCATTTACAATAAAATGAAATCGGATTTATACGTGAAACTCTTGCTTTGCCTGGGATTAAAAGAAGTAGTCATCCGAGACTTTGAAAACATATTCCTTCCCTTTTGAGTGGTTTAAGGAAAGCGATAAGAATGTCCCTGGTTGTATCCGCTTTATAAAGTTTGCACGTAAGACAAAGTACCTGTATACGGCTGGATTAAGTTTCTAGGGGTGGGGTATACTATCGTGACAAGATGCAGGATGGTGGGGAATTGTGGTTGCTGCTGACATGAATAGCCTATGAGCGCGGATGTGCTGACCTATCTTGTATAATATTGCCCCATTCGCGAAGGACTTGCAGAATCATTCACCTCTTCACATGAAGCATTCGGAGACTATCCGGGATACACCTCTTTTCAGAATTCTAGAAGGAATCGGAATTATGGAGAAAAGCTCAGGTCACCTGGTCCAAGAACGTTCCTAAAACAGATTGAGAGTAGGTCCGTACTATACGCATGATGTACAAAGCATTTTCTTCATTTCATCTCAAAGATTCTAGTCGAGATGAAGGGACAGAAGGGAGAGGGAGGGATGTGCTTACAGTGAATTTCACGAATAACCGATCAGGTATAAGCATAGAGCATACCAAGATAAGCACGGCGCAAAATGCGGTAAACATCCTTATTTATCCATGATATCAAAGTCTTTGGGTCAGCTTTCCTTCCACTACTGCTAGAACTAGATATGTCTAACCTACGAATTGATACGAAAGAATCAGATACTCAGTGAAGATAAGACTGATAGATGAGAGGTAAAATCAGACACACTCAGCTGATTCGCAGAAGCTCATTGGTCAGAAGGAAGTTGCATGTATGTTTTGGAATCTTGGCGTAACCTTTGGGCTGAAGTTTCCATGTCATGAGGAGGAAATCGATATTAAGAAGGCTATATTACTAAGACGTATCCTAATATAGGCGAGCGCCCCAATGGTCAAAAGGGGTTGGAGTATATAAATATTTCTCTGCCTCGATTTACATACAATAAACAAACCTGAATTCAGTCCACCAACTCGAACCATATCTTCATCACAGAACCTTCAAATTTGATAGCCTAAAACTTCAACCAAGACTCTTCAAAATAATGGCCGCCATATTCGGTAGTATCGCCGGCGCACTGATCCCCGGTCTCTTCGGTGGCGGTGATGAGCCATCTGCTGCGACCGAACAAGAAGCTGCGGCAGCAATCCAAGCAAACGTGATCGCACAAGGCGAACTCGACGAAGAGAAGAAACAGAATGCTGTCGAAAACGCGCAAGCGAAAGCGGAGCTTGATGAGACAGCTGCGGACAACAAGGCTGATAATGAGAGAGAGGATAAGGATCAAGCCAATGAGGAGGATCAGAGGAAGATTGAGAATGCGAGAACTGATGAGGAGATTAAGAGGGACAATGCGAGGGAAGATATGTAAGTTTCTGTTTTTTTGATAACTTCCAGGGGCAAGATAGGCGGGGGAAGGTGGGTTCAAGAGTGTGTGCTAATTGAATGAAAATAGTGATAATCAGAGAGCGGATGATAAGTTCAATAGGGGAGAAGCGAATAACTTCAATATTCGAAAGAATTTCTTGGAGAATAGTGTTGCTGCTATCAAGGAGATGACTATGAATCAATTCAATATTCTCATTGTAACTAACCAGAAGGATGATGCGTGGAAGAGTCCCGTATTGAAGTAAGCGAAAACCCCTTTGCCATAGAAATTTCTAACGTTTTCTTGTAGCCGTCTTCTACCTATGAAGCTCGTGGAGGTTGAACTTATGGATGGTGAAGTGATCAATTACGAGGTTTACGTCTTCGACTCTGGAGAGTATATAAGAACTGGTGATAATATCGAGGACGACAATATGAGGAATGACTCAATTATTTGGTATCCGGATGATGCTAAGAAGGACGTAGGTTGATCCAAAATTTGCTGCTAAGCGTCTTTGGTGGTGGTGCTGACAGGTACTATTAGTACCATGATGCCGCCGATGGTAATCCCGCTGGCCGTTATTTCCAGTTTATCCCTCAACCTAAACAATCTGCTGAAGGCATGAAACTTTTGAAGGAATTAAAGAAGAAAAATAAGGGAAGAGTTGATGGCGTAGACCGAAATATCACGAAAAATATTGACGAGGACGGTGCGGAGAAGAGTGGGGATGATGAAGAAGAGGTATTAAAGAGACCACTTTTCTGGTTATTTTGTTTGTATTGAGCTGATCTATGGAATTCTAGGAGGATGAGAATGAGGACGAAGACGACGATGAAGAGGACGGAGGAAATGGCGATGGGGAGGGACCCGAAGAGGATGAGGTATGTCTGCCTTTTTTTGCTTCGTTGACACTGCCGCATCAACCTAGTATCTTGAGTTGGGCAGAGCGTGACGTGCCTATTCCGGTCTCATGGCACTACTCATTGACAGGAGAATTGCCGTTGGCTGATTCTCTGGCCTTTAGGAAGCAGAAGATGACGAGGAAGGTGCTGGAGATGGCGAAGAGCCAGAAGAACAAGAACAAGAATTAGAAGAAGGTGAAGATGAAGAAGAAGAAGAAGAGGTATTTTTTCATTAAACTCAGTATCAAGAGTGTTATGGCCTTGCGGAATGGCGACATTTGTATATCGCATTGTGCTAACTCGCTTATTCAGGAGGCCGAAGACGACGAGGAAATTGAGGCCGATGAGAACGAAGAGGAAGAGGAAGAAGAAGAAGAGCCAACTGACGATGGAGAGAAGCCAGAAGAGGAGGAGGAGACACCGGAAGAGGAAGAAGAGGCACCAGAGGAGGATGAGGAGGCACCGGACGAAGACGGGGAAGAACCAGAAGTAGAGGAAGAGGAAGAAAAGCCCAAAAGATCGGCCAAGGGCAAGAAAGTGAAAGGGGGTGAGGACGAATAAAGCAATTCCTGGGACTCCTATATCTCTACACATAATCATCCCTAGACCTTCAACAACATTTCGTTTAATTAGAAACAAGGATCATAGAAGTTACATTCCATTCACCCTCGACCCAATTTGTTCAACACGACGAGACATAACCCAAATCAGATGAACCCTCTTCACCTCTCACTCAATTGAGTGAAGTGAGCAATGTAAGGGCGAATGCTGCACGTATTCGCGTCAGTTTCATGTTTTGAATCCTGATCTGAGGCTTAGCTAGCACCTGCCTATTTCTTGACACCTCGAATACTTTGGGAAATGAATTGAAGGCTGACTGAATAAGTTGCATCGCTCCTGCCGAGCTCATGATGACAGAAATGATAGCATATACACCAGAGCCTACTTTCGAGAGCGTCGGAAGACAGTAGCTTCGCACACCTCATACCGTCAACTGCTTTTGGAAGGGAAACAAAAATCATCTTCAAGTCACCGGATATACTTTAATATCAATCTCTCATTACCATCCATCATAAAGTCAGGTATTCATAAAAATGCAAATCTATTTCTCGACTTCTTATACCGAACTCAGGGAAAGCCCCTCCGAGATATAAGAGGCTTATATAGAAGCAATGAAGCAATAAGGAGGAAACGTAACCAATGAAAGAAAAATGGTTTCAGCAGAGGTCACTTACGCCGTTTCGTTGAAACCGCAAGATGGCGAGCAAAAGTTTGAAGCTGAAGCGAAGTAAGCGATTCGTACAAAAACTATGAGCGGCACGGCAAGGAACCAACCAACATCAACCCAAATAGCGATGTGAAAGCAATGTAAAAGGAAAACGACGAGAAATTCGAGAATGACGGACCGGGAGCAGAACAAGCCTTAAATGTATGGAGTTAAAATATCAAGGAGACTGGAGCTAGAAGCGAGAGTGAGTGGGATTAACTATGGAAATCAGGAAACGTTTGGAGTGGAAAGAGAATACAACTAGCTGATCTGAGGACTGACGCATTAACTGGTAGTCGAGCTCCATAATCCGAAGGCCGTGAGAATTCGATTGGAATAGGCGTTATATCATCCGCATCGTTTATGATATTATACTAATCCAATCAGGCTTCCCTGACAGCTCTAACTCTCTTTCTCGCCTCGGCAAGGAAAAGAAGAAAGCATTCATGATCGTTCCAAAATACTCTATCGTCTTTATTTGGCGACGATTACTTGTACAACGTTTGCAATATTGAAGTTTCTTCTATAAGAGATCAGATATCCCCAATCTTCTTGCTCTTACTGCACCACAAAATGAAACCCAAATATTTTGCCTCAAGGACCAAATGAAAAAAAGTGGCTTTGGTAGCGAAGGGAGGTTGACTTAAGAGCGGTAGTCATTACCCTGAACATACATAGGTTAGAATAAAACTACATTATTCTAAAAGCCTCGCACAACGAAAATAGTTATACGAGCGATTTGGGGCAACTAAAATTACTATATCTTTATTGGCATAACTTAAGTGATTTGTGATAAGCAAGTTAATTGTTTTAGAATTCTAGCACAATAGGTTCTTAAGGTATGTCCAAAGATACTACATTATTCTAAAGGCCTTGTACATTGAAAATAGTTATCTGAGCGATTTGGGATAATGGAAATTAATATTTCTTTATTAACCTAAGTAAGCTGGGACAATCAAGTTAATTGTTTTAGAAACTCTAGCACAATAGGTTCTTAAGTTGTGTCCAGAGTAATGGACAGGTCTCTTACAGTGCCGTACATTACAGACAGTATGAGCTCCTGGGGTTGTCAAAGCAGACCCTACAACAATACTGTAGGCTTGGGGTACCCCACGATCATTAACCCAAAATTCAACCACCAGCCGACAAACCACAAAAGATCGTCGGTAAATAGTGTCTATGCGATGGACTCCTGCGTGTCATAACCGTTCTAGAACTATGCCAGCTATTTCTGGACTATGCGTGCATAGGACGAATGGGCACCCTTCTTCACCACTTCACAATCCATCCCACCCCATCCCATCCTACCCCCGAGTCCAAATCAATATACCTGCACCATATGTAACGACTTCCAAATAGCCTTCCTCGATCGACAAAGCAGCGCGGTACTTGGTACTTGAGGAGATCCGAGGCCCGGTGCAACTCTACATTTGGGTGTAGTACACGCTTCCGGAAAGGTCTGTTTCCACCGGATGGTAATGCATAGCAAGTACCGGACCTACAACTGACAAATGTATGGAGAATTATAGCATGAAGTGTTGAGGCTTGGACGCGGAGCATGAATGTTGTGGTTTTTGTTTGGTGCCTCGTTTGGGTCTCTGGAAGATCTCTATTTCAGTCATTCAACTATTCTCGGATGGACGTCTCGCAATTGAGATATTTCAAGAGGGCATTTTACACCGGTATGGTATATTGTTTGCACTGATTAATTGCATCAGGAAGTTCGACTCGGCCAAAGAGGAGGACAAGTTTGTGTTGCGGTGTACAGAATGCTTACTGTATAGTATGTACAGTACTGTACCCCGCAGCGCAGCAGTGGGATTTATGGCACCTTGTTCTAGAACGAACCGCTTGCTGTATTATTTCCCTTGGTCTGGCAAGTACCGGATCTCGCAATTTGTCCAATTGTTCCTGGCATGAGGTGGCTCCTCAGTGTATGGCCATGCCATCATTCTCCATCCTCGATTCTACAAGTCGTCTTGTCCGACTCCGCATCGAAACATGGTCCATACTGCTGGCTTGATACAGTCGCATGCGCTTATTATTTAAAGTACTGGTGTACCTTGGGTCCCACCTTACCAGAATTCGCATATGGGCCTTGCTTAGCATATACTCATGCGATATTCGTACTTCTAGCGTTTCTAGTGACGCTTTTAGGTAGTGGTTGGACGTTATGTTCTAAATGTTTTCATCTTTTTGTTGGTTTCTTGTTACAAGTCGTTGCAGGTTTCTGTGTTTGCGAAGACAGATGTCTTGGTTTGATCCTTCCGGCCTCTAGCCGAGGTCGACAATCTAAGATAACATCAGTTCTCGAAATTTTGCCAACGTGATGTTCTGACAAGAGACCATAGCATTTATCACCACGAGCCTCATTATTCATGTTTAACAGCTTATCTTTCAATTTTTGCCGGGTTTCGTCATCAACATTCTCCGAGAAGCATTGTGGTATCATTCACCGGCAGTGGTTGGGGTGGCTGACGCCTATTGTATCAGATACTGCTGTGTAACGGCACAGTGCACCTCACCCAAAGAATGACTTTCATGTATACCTCTACTCCGCTACAGAGGATCGCAACGTATGAAAGTATGATCGTCCCGTTGAAACCCATACGCCACGTCCATTCGCAAGTACCGTATTTTTGGAAGCTTTTCGAAGCCAAGACCCCTTAAAGAATGGGCAGATCCCGTCTCAATCCACTTTTTTATTGTTCGTATGATATGGCTTTCTCTTGATGTTTTCCTTTCGCTTGCTCACGCGCGTTGCGCTTGTGCTGGCTTGGGTGGTGTGTTCTCTGGGGGCGCAATGGGTTGTTGCGTAGGGTGGGATAGGGATAATTTTTACATTTGTACCAGTCAACACGATCGCGGCGGTTGGGGAAACAGTTACTATCAAGGTTCCTAATGGGGGAAAATATAATTGGAGTATAGTCCAGACTTCCTTTGATGAGCCATGTCACTACTTGACGGGAGGTTTCCATCCTGGCATCATTGCCGCAGATCCAGACAAGCCAGTTTGTATATCCGAACCAAAGTCCTCCAATCAATCCGCTAAAACTTATCTAGAATACAACATTTTTTGACTTCAGTTTTATTGTCCGAAATCAGCAGCCGATATACTACAACTTTGGCGAAGAGTTCACATGTAACCAAGGCATGGCTGCTGGAGTCAATACACCTTCCGCACAGCCCGCTTTTAAATTCCGTCAAGCAGCTATAGCTGCGACACCCTCTCTGAATAACGCCGCGGCAGCAGCGGGAGCAAGAGGGTCTGGATTTAAAGGACTTACCCCTTCACAAGTGAAAATTGCAACGCCACTCATCATCGTATCCGTCTTGCTCATGGCGGCTGGGGCTATTTACTATTGGAGAACACGAAATCGGCCACGAAAATCCGACACCATAGCAATTGATCGTCCAGAGTTAGAAGAAGGACGCAGCACACAGGAATTGGATGCAAGTAGGCCACCAGCAGAGCTGGGTTTGAAATCACCAAGGGGATACGTGTATGAGCTCTCTGCGGAAGAGGCGAGGGCACTTAGGTCAAAAGAAAGTGTCCAGCAGAAGCGAGGAAGTTTGTATTTCTGGCGAGCGGAAATTCGTCCTTCGCGAGGATGAAGTCTTGGGCGAAAAAGGGGAAAAGTGGAGGACTGTCACGTGAGAGGTAAACAAATCTCAATGGCCGCAAAAGAAAGGATGTAATTGTTTTTACCACTCTCGTTTCAGTTCATTAAAAGGTTTGGAATTCTGTTCAGTTTTATTGTCCGTCCAGTTCGCATTTGGATGGATGGGATGTGACTTGACGGTCGTTCCTTCCAAAGTACATTTCCACGTGAACACGCGCTAAGACGCGTTGGCCAACTGAATGCCTCAACTTCTGAATGCAACACCACACCACATCACTGCCTCTATCTCCCCTCCATCGTTTGTGCTGTATACCAGCCTCGGTCTCCAAGTCGTGTCGCACCGAATCGTATAGCGACTGATTGTAATACACACTACGCATCGTAAGTTTGCCTTTCCTCCTATTGGCATCGAGGCACTTGGGCTGACAGTGATAGTCCACAGACCATCCTCTACCACCATGTCGCCTCCAGAGACGAAGACAACCACAAAATCATCATCATCTCCTAATCTCCTCGACCTGCCTCGTGATGTCCGAAAGAAGATCCTTCTGGACGTTCTTCTTGACCCAGTCTCACCAAAATTCGAAGCCACGACACCTCCAACCAGCACAAACTACCCCAACTACTTTGCAGTTACTTTCGTCAACCGACAACTCCAGCGCGAAGCCAACGATGCCTTAGCCAAGTCTAAGGCACTCATCATCGTCTCCTCAAACGGCGATTCTTATGACAAACACCTTCGGGTGTATGGAATTCCAACAGTCTCCACTTCCCGCGCTGCAAAGCTCAAGCACTTCGCCATGAGAGTTCATGTGACCTACCCAAAGAAGGCAGATAAAGTGGTCACCTCAATCATTATTCTCTCCTCAGAACTCCCAAATCTCAGCCGTCTATTGAGAATCCACAGTCTATCTCTTCGTCACTCGGACCAATTCCCTATCAACGACGAAGACACCAAGAAGTTCCCCCGAATGGCCCTTAAGATCCGCTTTGGTGATGGAACTGGAACAACCAAAGACGAGCAAATCGCCCTCCTGAAGCAGATGGTTTTCGCAGATAGAGTCGGTCCAATCACTATCCTCAAACCCGCCGACCCATCAGTCCGCGACATCCTCCCAGGCAGCACCCACACCTTCATACCATCCCCTTCCCTCCCCAATAACCCTATGCTTGTCAAACGCGCCCGCGACCAATGGTTCCGCGACACCCGCAAGCAAGATGGTAACGACCAACTTGAGATCTACGATTGGTGCATCATGCACGCTATCAAAGCAACCCTCGCGATGAATCACTCCCTTGCCATCGCCCGTTACGAGCTGGTCCGTGATCTCATCCACATCTTCTTTGACAAGAATCGCTTCGTGGGTCATCCATCGATGGACTTTCAGTTGAAGATTGACATGCGGGAGAATCAGGCGGCGGTAGGGTTGGCGAGAAGTAGGAAGCTAGTCGGGGAGAGTATCAAGGTTACCTTTACCGGGGCGATGATGGCAGGATTGAATTTGAGCGCGGTGAGAGATGAGAGAGGCAGAGAGTGTGCCAAGTTTAGGCGGAGAAAGGGAAAGGGAAAAAACGGAAAGGGCAAGGAGAATGGGGATGGTGAGGAGGATAAGGTTCTGACTTCTTCTATGCCTTCATTTGAGGTGAGACTTTTGAGTTGATCTGGTGTGTGATGATAGATGTGCTTCTTCTATTTGTGGAAAATGTGGGCAGAAGGTCTTTTGCTACAGCTTTGCTTTCTTGACACCAGACTAGCTAGATGAAATGAATCTCGTATTATGCTCTACTTGTGTCAATCATCGCTCCTAAATTTCTCTTTCTTCCCTTTCCACCAATTTAAATTCATACATTTTGCGATAGTAGATCATTTTAACAGTAATAGACCAGGTCATCACAATATCCACACCTAAGTTACAATAAGACTTTCCCAAAAGCCTCGTACAACCGAACCAATTCTCCAAAGAATTCAGAATAACCATCCCTTTTCACTTCTTCTTGCCTTGGTCAAGATAGGGGGAAGATTTTGTATTACCTGTAGAAGTAACCATTGGTAGCTGGTAAGTGGCGAAGGGATGTTGCACATAGCGATCACGTGACAAAGTAAATAAAGGAAGGGGCTCTGGGGGCTCCTGGCCTCATCGCACTTGCGCCCCTGAAAAACGGCCAGAACTCTCGCTTAGAACGGAAGGTGGGGTCGGCTATTTATACGAGGAACGAAAAACGAGGAACGGTAAGATAAAAGACGGCAAACATCGTAATACTTGGTGTATACTTTTGCGTTGAATACACTGTCGAATTTCATTGGTTTTGAAACTTGGTTTGTAGATTGATTGTTGTTCTTTATAGGATGGATGTTATTGAGGAATACATAGACACTGTCATGGCGAGTCCAGTGCACCTACCTCTCGTTTAGATTATCCCGTCCGCTATTCATCACTAGGATTACTTTGCGTTGCAAATTTATGTGATGGCATGAGCGTATGGGCGATATCACTCTAGTATCTCTCTCTCTTTCTAACTCCGACTGTGGTCTTACGAGGTATGCGCCGTGCGCATCATGCTTCCTTCCTCCTCTCTACCTTCAGGAGCCAACCACACGAGATTCTACACGCGGAAGTACGAGCATCCGGGTTTCTGTTCTCCTCTCTTCCTCCCCCCACTGACTCTTCATCAGAACTGTTGGGGCGAGCATTTGTTGTTCTTCCCCAGCACTCTTTCCATTCTACGATCATCCCCCACCTTACTCTCTCCTCTCCCTTCTGCTCTTCCATCACCATCACCAATCGTCCTCTATCCCCCGGTGTTTCTTGATCGTCTCCGATAGTCCATTCCCAATCTCCTCTTGTCGTTACAGCATTTCTGACAAAATGGTATCGGCAATGGCGAAATACGGGTAAGTTGCCCTGATAGATACTTCATTGACAACTTTGCTAACTATTACAGCGTGAGTATGATGGAGGAATATTGGGGTAAGGAGGAGACAGAGCGATTTATGCGTTGGCATGCAGAGAAGATAAACAACAATAACACCCTTCTTCGTTCCATCGTTTCTGACAAAGCAAGGGTGAAATACGTGTAAGTTGCCCTGATCGATACTTCATTAACAACTTCGCTAACTATTACAGCATGAGTATGATGGAGGAATATTAGGGTAGGGAGGAGACAGAGCAATTTATGCGTTGGCATGAAGAGAAGATAAACAACAATAACAACAGCAAAGGGTAAAGTAACGTTGGTCTCTCGGTGGGCGATGAAGCTAACAGTCATTTCAGCAAAGGACCCAATGACACTAAGTCCAAGTCCAAGGCCAGTGCCAATGCCAAGTCCCACAGCCCCATCACCAGCAGCAGCAAGGCTGGAAAGGGAGGTTTGACAAATGCGCAAATCATGGCGATACAGAAGGAGAATGAGGCAATTATGCGTGGGCAGCCAGAGAAGATAAAAAACAATAACAAAGGGTAAAATAACGTTGGAATATCGGTGGCTGATGAAGCTGACAGTAATTTCGCAAAGGACCCAATGACACCAAGTCCAAGTCTAAGGCCAAGACCAAGTCCTACACCCCCATCGCCAGTAGCAGCAAGGCTGGAAAGGAAGGGTTGACAAATACCAGGTAAGAGTTGACACATGTATTCATTGGGAAACACTGAGAAGTAGAGAAGACAGAAGAAGATGCCTGCCAGAACTGCGGGTCTCGTTGGTTCTCCACGTGTCACCAAGAAGAGATCCAAGAGAACGTAAAAGGTCACTATTGAACTCATTTCCTCAAACGACGAAGACAATGGTGGTGCGAGTAGCATGGGAAAGAGAAAGGAGGTTGTTAGTGATTCTGATGATGAGCTAAGTATCTCTGATGATGTGTTGGCGGAAAGCGTGTGTGGTTCGAGTCTGCTTGATGATGAGGATGAGGAGGTTGAAGATGGAGATGAAAATGATGAGGAGGTTGACGATGGAGATGAAAATGAGGAGGAGGTTGACGAAGAAAGTGACTCGGATGTTGCTGTAAAATCTGAGGAGGGTTCAAGTTTGATGGGTTCAAGCTTGATGGACGACGAGAAAGAGGAGGATATGTAGATGCGCGATTGGACTCCATGATTGATGACGAGGGTGGCGTGGAAAGAGTGATCGTTGTTGGTGCTTCTTCAGTTTTGGTGGATATTGATATTGGGCGATGTGGGGTGGTATTCTCCACAAAAGGGTCGAGAGACATGTTTTCATTTTTGGGGTGGGATGATTCTATTATAAGACTTTACCTTTTATCGCTGCTATTCAATTGGACTTCATAAAATTATAATACATTTTCCATTCAGGTGCCAGTCTATGTGCGAGGATGAAAGCCTTTGAGTTATCTTGGACATTATTCAAACAGTACGGTCGAATTGATGCTGATGATAAAAGAAGAATATATGAAGTTGATGGTTGTTCATGCCAGAACTCTGAGGGAGAACTAGCATATATAGTGGCTGGTATGAGATAAGCTGGTTATATAACTACTTACTCAGTTATATAGGTTAGTTCTCTTAATTGCGAATTTCCCTCCCTTGTAGTCGATATCAGCCCGAGTCTCAACCATACCCCCTTAGCGGGCGCGAAAGGGGGGTTCATCACGTTACAGGTCAGTTCACACATCTCCTGATCAGCTCTCTCAATTGCGAATTTCTCTTTCTACTTGAAAGCCGGAGCTGACTTAAAACCTTATAGCCATCTCGGTTCCGCGTGCTCATGCCCTCCCTATTAGGAGGGAGACTACGATAAGGACGATGATTATCCTTTTTAGTTTACTAAACGAAAAATAGTATAATAAAAGAGAGTCCTAAGACTATTAACAAGCTTTGCAGAATTACACTACTAATCTGGTTAAAGTACTCGTATAGGTAGAAAATAAGATGTGGAATAAGGAATATGATAACCTTCTACTGTTTATATAGATTTGGAAGGGAATTACGTAGCTGGGTGGTTGTGGCATCCTTGTTTTCTGGTCTCTTTTTGTTCACCTTTCTGTTTCTGTTTTCTTTTCTCTATATTCACTCATTTCAATTGTTCGAACTCGCGAACTCGCTTGGAGAACGGTTGTGACTTTTGGGATAATGTCTTTTTCTAATCTAGGTTGTGTTTAGAGGTTTTCCTAAATGTCTTATATATAGGTGATAGGAGAGAATGAAGTAGTGAAAATGGAAGACTTTGATTGAAACTGACGCGAGAGAAATGCTACAAACGGCATCTAACTCCAGCCCCTCAATCCCTCTTTCCTAGCCCCATATTTACACTCTAATCCTTCCCATCCCCCGTATGAGCAGCAGCTAACGCCAAAATATCAACCCAAGCACCCGGTCTCTGCCTCCCACCTTCATAACACTCATTTAAATACGCCTCACACTCCCTCCCAAAAGCCAGCAATTGATCCTCGGCGCCCCACTCGCCCATCCCCATGAGTCCTATAGGAATCTTGCCTTCCCCTTTGATTGGTGCTACATACCCCACGGGACAACTGATGGCGGGGTTCCCGCAGAAGTTGGCGAGCCATACGTATTCCATGCTTCGGACGCTGGTATTCCCATCTGTGATCCCGTGTGTGAGAGCTGCGGGCGAGGAGATGGGCCAGCCTGCCATTGGACTGGTAGGCGTCACGATGATGAGACCGGGGTGTTGTTGGTAGAGCCAGGAAAGGTGTTGCATTAGGAGGTTGCGGAGTTGTTGTGCAAGGATGTAGTCTTGTGCGGGTGTTTGGGATGCCACTGCTAGTAGGATCTTGTTTGCGGGATTGAGAGCTGCAAGCCAGTCCGCATTTTTGGGGACCTGACTTCGGGCTCGCACGGCCATTTCAGAGAGAATGGTGAAAGCGTGGCCGAGTTGTCCTTCGGGGAGGTAAGGGATGGCAATGTCGATTATGGTGTATGAGAGTTTGTCGCGGAGGTGGTTCAGGACTGCTTGACATGTTTCTCGGACTGAGGGGTCAGCTCGGTCGAACCAGGCTTTGTAGATGCCTATGACCTTAGGACGAGAGGTAGACAGTCTTGCTGGACTCGGGGGTGTGAAGAGTGCACAGTGTGGATCTTCAGGATCAGGTTGTCCAAGTACTCGATAGGCGGCTTCCAGATCGGCCATAGAGCCAGCAAGTGGACCAGAGACAGTAACGGTACTTCCTGTATCTTCGAGACGACCGTGGGAAGGTTTTAATCCGTAGATACCACAGAAAGATGATGGAATTCGGATACTTCCACCACCATCTGCACCGAGAGCAAAGGGAACGAGACCAGCTCCAACAACATAAGCGGAGCCACCTGATGATCCACCCGTATAGTACTGTTCATTATAAGGATTCTTTGGTGTTCCCCAATTGGGGTTGTTGTTGGTGGTATCGGCACCAAGTTCATGCATATTCAATTTTCCTAGGATGACCATTCCAGAGGCTTGCAATTTTTGCACAGGCCAGGATGACTTTTCAGCAATTTGAAATAGGCTATCATTTGCAGCTCTCCCGATTGTCGTGCGATATCCCACAACGTCTGCTTCATCCTTAAAAGCAGTTGGAATTCCATCAAGAAGACCGAGAGATGTTCCAGCTTGATAACGTGCTGTAGATTCCCTTGCTGCGGCCAAAACATGTTCAACGTTGGTAGAAATGAAAGCAACAGAGTGGTTCGAAGCGTCCTTGACATCTCGACGGATCAAAGGAAGTAGAGATTCTGCTACGGCCAAAGGGGTGAGTTCGCCTGAGAGATATTTGGCGTGATACTCGGAAACTGTGTGGTAGCGACCGAGGACTTTTTCTGAGAGAGATTGTAATGAAGCAGGATATAAGTCGGGAGTGTATAAAAACTCATCCAGTTCAGATACTGGAATTACGAGAGGCTGTAAAGGTAATCATTAGATATGAACTATATACACGTGGGAATAGGAAGCACTTACATCCCACCGTTCGGTATATTTGTCAAGCTGGATCTTCCGTAAGCCGTCAAATCCAGCATTGCTCCATAGGAATTTTTGAACAAAAGATAGTTTGGAAATTCTTCGTTGAGGTCAGCTACTACTAATACCCATTGAGAAGGGTTCGATTTACTCACAGCCATGCTCCAATTACAAGTAGAATTCCGGTGACTACTGGATTGGCATCTTCGTGATTCTGATACGGAACATCTGGACCTTTGACGGCACTGGGATATCCAAAGAATCTCTGTGTCTTTTTCTTGGATTCTGGATTCTCGGATCCATTGGCTGCCATAGTGAATGTTACTCCCGAGGTCTCAGCTCAGGGGAAGCTTGTGAGTGTGTCCTGTTTTCGCGTCAGAGACGGCAAACGAACACTGAACGTTTGCCGAGGGCAACTATGAGGTTGTTGAGTATGCTCAGATGACCCAACTCAATGAAGCGTCGAATTTAGATGTTAGATGTAAGCTTCGCTTCGCAACGCCTCGGCGTGTTTGTATGGCGTTGCGTTGGTCCAGTGGTGCTCGCACTAGAAGCTGAGACGGACCTCGGCACGTGCCTGATTGGCAGGGATACAGGTACCAGGTACTCACGTATTCTTCAGCTCTGAACCACTTATTTGATAGCTTGCAGGTGGCATCAGATAACCGCAATACGTCACAATCACTCTGACACTCCGGCATTTGCATAGCCTCAATTGGGGAGCTCAAGTGGCTCAAGTTCATTCACATAAGATCCTTTGCTTTCCTCGTTCCAATAATTTGTCACTGTCATTCTTTACAAACCAATGCCTTCGATTGCAAACATCTAGTGAGACGTAATACTGCCACACTCCGCCTCACTCGTCAACGTCACAATGTGTTTTGGCAGCAAACTTAAGGGCGAGGACCCCTCGTCAAGATTGAACAACGACTACAACTCTCGTCCTGTCGATGCCAAACCTACACAACCAACATCCAGCAGAATGCCTCAGAATAACTATGCCCCTCCACCAGGACCTCCACCCTCTCATCAACAGAGTCAAAATGTCTACAATCCACCCCCAGGACCTCCTCCAAATCAGCAATATACCCCGCCATCCGGCCCCCCTCTATCACAACAACCACAATACGATTACTCCTACGTAAAGCCACCCGATGGCCCACCCCCAAAACAAGAACCATATCATGACTGGGAAATCGCCGTCCCAGATACCTCTCTCCTCCCACCACCTCCCTCAATGGGCAACCAACGCAGCGCAACCAACAACGCCACAGAAGCAGAAGCCGAGCAAGGCGAAGCATGGTGCGCCCAGAACCCCTTTACACCCCCCCTGACGCTGCCAATTGAGCTGCTCCAAGCCCTCGACCGAGGCGACGTCGGTGTCGTGATCCCACGGGGCTACAAAGGCACTCTCACTCGCACAAGACCCGGCGTCTGGGCGGGGAATACGAAGAGTGGTAGTCCAGACACGACCATCTCATCTGCGAACCCGGTCTACTCAGTCATAGCACACTCTCCTTTCAACACCGGGAGACCGCGAACGATCTACTACGAAGTGCGAATTGGAAGGCGGAACCGACCTGAAGTCTCCCTAGCACTGGGCTACGCCGCGCCTCCGTACCCAACCTTCCGGCTCCCAGGCTGGCACCGGGGATGTCTCGCTGTTCATGGAGACGATGGGAGTAAATTCATCAACGATAGATGGGGCGGGAAGAATTTCACGACGCCGTTTAAACCGGGTGAGACGATTGGGTTGGGGATGACGTTCACGGGCATCGATCCTAATGCGCCTCCTTCGTACGGACCTGTGCAAACCACTGCGTCTGCGCCGATGAATGTGGAGGTCTTCTTGACGCGGGATGGGCGACGGGTGGATGGGTGGAATCTGCATGAGGAGGGGGACGCGCAGGAGGATTTACCCGTCACTGGGTTGGAGGGATTGAATGATCTCTATGCTGCCGTGGGGACCTTTGAGAGTGTGGAGTTTGAGATTATATTTAGTCCGGGGGAGTGGATGTATCGGCCTACATAGTCCACGAACCTGTTTCATTTCTTTTTAATTTAATACTATCTTCAATTCTTGTATTCTTGAAAACGATGCAAACTCTTATCGCTTCTTCATAATTGACTTCTCGCTTATTCCTTGGATCGCTTAGATCATAAGGGTTAAGGGTTCATAGCTACTATAGCCAACAATCTCAGGTCTAATCTATACTATACAAGTATATTCTAAACCGTAGCGTACGTAGTACATGAATATATCCAAGAAAAATAAGCTTCAAGAGATCAATTTCGACAAATTACACAGTACCTCAAGACTAGACTAGCTCATTTAAAACTCGCACAAGGAGTCAACTTAGAATTCCGCAAGCTAGAATCTGTGAAGTTTGTAAAATACGTACTTTATATCTACAAACGACTTCACATCCATACATCCCATTCGATAACCTTACCCATCGATGCCACCCCACTCACTCTCCTCTCCTTTATCGACTCTCTCCTCAGCCTGGGCCAGGACTCGTCTCTTGCTCCCTTGAATAGCGCCTTTACGGTTATGCTCCAAGCGCCTCTCATACCCACTCTTGGTGCTAATAAGCATCTTCTTCTTGCCTTTCCCATCCTTCTCGTCCTTCTCTAGCCCGGCCCGTCTCGCTTCAACGCCATGTTTCTTCAACCTCTTTTTCTCCTCCTTGGTTGGCGTGGGTAGCGCGTCCAAGAACCACTTTTGTACACTCGCTTCTGATGGCTCCAAGCCTGCCTGCTTCTCACTAGCTGAGATGATATTCGCGATTGCCTTGACATAGGGAATATCCTCTTTCGTGTAGAACGTCACAGCCACGCCTCCATCCCTCCCAGCTCTACCGGTACGACCAACACGATGGATGTACGCAGCTCCTGAGTTTGGAACGTCGTAGTTTACCACCCCGTTGATACCCCGGAAGTCGACACCGCGGGAGAGGATATCCGTCGTGATCAGGATCCACACCTCCCCGTTGCGGAAACGGGTCATTACACTGTCACGCACTGAATCGGAGAGTGAGGAGTGCAGGACTGCGATACGAGAGGAGCCGCCTGCTTCGGCGGGGATGTCGTACAGGAGTTCGGAATGGAGGGCTATTGCCCGAGGAATGGTTTGTGTGAAGACCAAAAAGGGTGGCCGGAGAGAGGGGATGTTGGATGTTGAGCGGGCGGTTGGATGAAGGAGTTGGCGGAGGGCGAGGAGTTTGCCGGGCTCTGTTGCGGCGTAGATGAGTTTGTGCGTGATGTTTGGAATTGCTGAGTCTTTGAGGCCTACCACGAGACGGATTGTTCGAGCTGAGGTGGGGAGTTGGAGACGCTGTTGGCGGGCTTGAATTGTGGATGAGGCGAGGGATTCGATATTGGAACCCATGGTTGCGGACCAGAGAGTTACTCGTAGATCCGGGTTCACGCAAGAGTCCCATATTCCGAGTGTTTGTTCTCGGAATAAGGGATCCAAAAGAACATCTGCTTCATCAAGAACTAGAGTTTTGACGGTAGGTAATGGTGTATGCTCGCTTCCAACAGTGACAGCCGAAAGCAAAAGTCCAGGAGTTGTAACCAGAATATCTGCTTTTGCGACAGGCTGTGCAGAAGTCTTCTTTCCAGTCTTACCATTTTCATCCTCATCTTCCTCCTCGCTCTCACTCGAGCTGTCTGTATCTTCCGAATGTTCACTCTCAACAATTTTCATCCCCTTCTTCATTCCTACAACTTTGATTCCGGTTCCTAAACTCAACTTCTTGGCTTCATTGACAATCTGACTGGCTAGTTCTTTCGTAGGCGCCACAATTATGGCATCTAGACAATGCCCGCCCTTTTCTTCTGATTTCCTCCTCCTTTGCACAACTTCGTTGACAACTGGTATCAAAAATGCCAAAGTCTTTCCGCTTCCAGTTGGTGCCACAGATAACAAATTGATATTCTCGGAGGTGTCAAATATTCCCAAATCACTTCCTTCCGAAAGAGCTACCTTGGGCTGTAGTAACAGAGGTAAGCCCCCCATTTGTACTTCGGTTGGTATTTTATATCCTTGTTGCGCCAAGTTGTCAGCCATTCGCCCTGATATGCCATATTTACTTCTGAGGTCGCTGAATGTTGTCAATGGTTGTGGGTATATTTGTGTAAATTCTGGTTTCTTGACATCTTTCTTGCTGACTTTATTCTTCTTCGACTTTTTGACCTTTTTCTCAATAATTGGGTCATTTGATGGAAGAAGTGTAACTTTCAAACGATGCGACCGCAGTATTTGCTTACATTCTCCCTCATCTAATAGCTTCGTTGGTTTCGGCGCAGGGCTCTCAACTGATGCGCTTTTCGATGGGGCATCCGCCTTAGATTTCTTCGTTGTCGGGACTATAGGATTCGCGGATTTAGTTGAGAAAAAATCAATTACATCTCCATCGTCCTCCTCGTTTTGTCCTACTTGCGCTCCAGCTTTTCTATCACCCCGCTTCCTCTTCTTTCCTCTCGTCTCTGATGTCGCATCATGGAATAATTGGGGGTTTGCGGAGACACCGGATGATGGAAGCTTGGTGGTGTTACTGGCAGATGAAGCCTTGTTCGTGGGGTTTGTTGATCTTGAGAGGAGCTTGAGGATATCCATTTTATCAATGTTGCGATGATCAAGAAATTCTTCCTGGGGAAAATAAAAGCCTGGATATTTCGCACCTCTCCGTCGGCCCATGATCCCTGCACCATCGCCGTCACACGCTAAGCCCGATTTGAGACCGGCTCCGATACTTGGTCCGAGAGCCATCCCGACGCCGACATTATGACCATCTGCTGCATCTGGAATGCTTCCCAGGTCAACGTAGCAGATCTTGTCGGGTCACCTCAACGAACCCACTTGGCCTTCAATATCAAAATCTCCAATTCAAGTCGCCTTTGGGCGCATCGACGCCGAAATGGTCTACGACTGGGAAGACAAGCAAAAACTGTGCTATCGCATGTACATTGAGGAGAACAAATCCCTGGAGGATATCATGGAGTATATGAAAGAGGAGCTCAAGTTTGCCCCAAGGTATGCACCGCACCACCCTCGCAACCACACCCACACCCAAACCCATTACCAGACCAGCACCCGTACTCTACCGTACAACTTGTACTAGCACTACGGACGACCAAACCAAAACCCAAACTCATATCATGCCTTCACAGCAAACGTGCGTTCCAAACCCAGTTCAAGCGCTGGAACTTCCCCTCCAAGCAACACCCCGCTCACAAGAATGCCGCCTTGGTTCAACGCGTTAAGGAGCTATGGGACGTCAACACCTCTCAACGCGAGATGCTGCGCATCCTCAACGAAGAGGGATACGACATCAAGGAGCGCGAATTGATGCGGGTACGAGGTAAGAATCGATGGCTGCTCCGAGAAGCCAATGGCAACCAGGCGAAGAAGCGCGACTCCGATAACATCTTGGTCGATCAGCTTTCGCAAGCTCTCTATCCCGATGCACAGATGGAAGACGCGGAAGGCGAGGATGAGGCCGAGCCCGAGGCCGATGAACCCATGGAAGATATGACAATCGTAGCGCCCCGTTCGAAGTCTCGTCGAGCCGACTCCCCTCCATTGAGCCCCGAGGTTCTGGCAAAGCGACAAGAGCGACTTGAAAAGCTTCAAGCTGAGTCTGCTGAGCGATGGGCCACTCGAAAGCGTCGTCGTCGTACTCGAGGCTGGGCTGGTTTGCCTGCTGATCCACCTGGACCCCCGCGATTCCCCTCCGAAACCACCATTGATGAGAGCAAGGCTTTCTTGAATTTGGACAGTCATCTCTACAAGGACATTCGCACTCGGTTCCAAAGAATCTGTGAGGAAGCGGATATCATCAAGAAGACGATAGCTGGCCCAGAACGATGGGAGGCTGCAAAGGACCGACTGATTCAGGAGAGTGAGCACCTGCAAAGCGTTTTCTGGACACCTGATGAGAGCCATGAGGCGAAGAAGTTGGCGCTTGATGTAGTATGCAGCGACGTAACCAAGAGAATGAGAACTTTGGAGCGGCGCATGACGATTGCAGAAGCGAAGAACGCCCTGGGAATCAATCCGGAAGAATCCCGTCAGCTTCGAAATGCTTTCTACCAAGTCTTGAAGGCCGATCATTTCACTAGCAAACTTGAGGCCGGCGAAGAACATTGGAAAGAACTAAAAGCCCGATGGATTGCTAATTCGACTCTTCTGCAACAAATACTTGCTCCAGGTGATGCAGATCCCAAGCATGCCGTGAAGGTCAAGGCGATGGAGGTATTGTGCAGAGATGTCATGAAGCGTTTACGAGATGATCAAACTAAAAGAGACCCGACCAGAAAGAAGAAGTATGACACCAAAATTACTGCGGCAGAACCGCCATCCCCAACCGACAACATGAACCCGTATGAAGAGAGCCATGATCAACATGATCAAGATGAGAATAGCTTCCATGTCAGTACCCATGCTGCTCTGATTCAAGCGGCATCACAGGCACAGGCAGCTTCAATTCCAATAGCGACGCCAATCCCACCATCCATGGCTCCTCCTCGAGCTTTGGCTGGTATGCAACATGCACAAGGACATATTCGCCCTCAACCACTCTCGCACCCAGCCCAACACAACCAAAATTTAGTTAACCACAACAGCATGCAAATTGACCCATCCCTTCTTCTTGCGGCTGCAAATGATCCGGGACTTATGAACCGTGGTGGTATGCAAAACCATTCCATGCCCAACCAATTTTCCGACTATAGTGAACCACAATTCGTTGCTCAAGCAGCTCAACAGACATATCATGCTCCAGCTTCAATCCCGTTCTACTTCCGGCTGCATCCAGCTTCGGATGTTCGAACCAGCACACCAATATGGCTAAGTGGATTGAGTTCTGTTTCCGTTGATGGACTTCGACAATTGGCGACGGTCAAATTTCCTGGAACTATCGCTTTACGTATTGAAGGGATTATCAAGCAACCCAACGGACAAGAATCGACTATCTTAATTGACCAGGATGACGAATTAGGTGCTTATTTTGCAGCTGGAGGCGTGAAGCCGACTTTCGCTGTACAACTTGTTAATGCATGGAAGGATTAGACTTGGAGTTAAAGGTGTTTAGGAGCATTTGTTTTCTTATTTATTTATTCATTCCCTGGGGAACTAGGCTGAAGTTATTTGGCGTTTGGAGTTGGGACTTCGGTCATGGGTCCTTAATCATGTATCCTTTGAAGATACAGCATTTTACATTATAAGGACGGTGATTCTTTTAGTTGATACTGTATGTACTTGTAAATTATGATGAAGAACAGCAGTTTCCATGATGAATTGAAATGGATTCGTGAACCCCATCTTTGACCGTCACGATCGTACGTATACATGTGAATCTGATTGGAAGTGAGAGATGATTAGCAATTGAGCCATTGAAGCATCAATGGCGTGCGGCATGATTAGTGGGGTCCTTCCGAGGTGCAGCAATCCATGCGCGATATCGTCGAGTGAGCTTCTTGCGAACCCTACGAATACTTGAGCACAACCACCACGCCTCCAATGTCGAATCAAAACCACAGTAAGCTTCTCACTTACTCACATTAGGACTTAAGACTCAATGGATCTTGCCATCCGCATGGTATAACCTCGAATCCCAAGCTACATCGAGCAGCAACCCTCACCAAAAATGTCCTTCACCAACCGAATCCCCTCGTCGGCCCTGCATGCGCTGCGCAAATCCACCACCACCACCACATGTCTGCGGACCGCAGGACGCCAGATACGATGGGAGTCTACGGAGAAGACGGAGAGAAAGACACATGGGAAGTCGTTTAGTGGACAGCTGTATTCGAGTACGGCGCTGCGATTGCAGCGTGAAAAAGCTGATCGGGTGCGCTTCGCGGAATTGAGGAATGAGGCGGGGGGTGGGAGGGGAATTGCGCTGTCTTTTAGTAGGTTTTTATTCTTGGTTTTCATGTTGTAGATTCATGGATGGGGAGAGGGATGTTGATTTGATGTATGGGGACTAATTGGATATAGCTGCTTTCTTTATAGCTATTGCTGCTTACTATGCGGGGACTGTCTCTGTCCCTGAAGTGTCGGATGCCAGTACTCTACCTCTTCTCGCGACCAAGGCGCTGAAATACAACACCTCCGGCTCGAATATGGAGGCTGCGTGGACGGATTTTGTAACCATTGTTGGGAAGGAAAATGTTTCGACACTGGATACAGATTTGAAGTTCCATGCGGGAAGTGATTGGTCTTCGCATATAACCGTCGACGGGGAGACGCCATTCATGATTGTGTATCCATCGAGTACGGAGGAGGTTAGTGCTATTATGAAGGTGTGTCATAAGAGGAAGATTCCTGTTACTGGATATAGTGGGGGGACGAGTTTGGAGGGGCATTTTGCGACGACGAGGGGAGGTATTAGTGTGGACTTTAGGAGGATGGGAAAGATTGTTAAGTTGAACAAGGAGGATATGGATGTGGTTGTTCAGCCTGCTGTGGGATGGGAACTTCTCAATGAGGAGTTGGCCAAGGATAATTTGTTCTTTCCTCCAGATCCAGGACCAGGTGCTATGATTGGGGGTATGGTAGGGACGGGATGCAGTGGAACAAATTCCTACAGATATGGAACGATGAGGGAATGGGTATTGAGTTTAACGGTCGTACTCGCTGATGGAACTGTTATCAAAACTCGTCAACGTCCAAGGAAGAGCAGTGCTGGATATGATCTAACCAAGATATTCATCGGTAGCGAAGGAACTCTCGGTTTGGTTACAGAGGCTACTTTGAAAGTCACGACAAAACCAAACACCACTAGCGTGGCAGTCTGTAGCTTTGGCAGTGTACGTCAAGCAGCGGATTGCGTCTCCAAAGTCGTTAACGAAGGGGTTCCAATCGCTGCAATTGAGATTCTGGATGATTACATGATGTACTGCATCAACGCCGCCGGTATGACAGATAAAACCTGGAACGAAGCTCCGACACTTTTCTTCAAGTTTGCTGGTACACCAAATGGCGTGAAAGAACAAATTGGTATAGTCCAAAAACTCGCCAAAGCCAGCGGTTCCAAGACCTTCGAATTCGCTAAATCCCAACAAGAACAAGTCGACCTCTGGTCCGCTCGAAAAGAAGCCCTATGGTCCGTCATAGCCACCAAGGAAAATGACGATGATCATGTCTGGACTGGTGACGTGGCGGTTCCTCTCTCCAGATTACCTGATATTATTGAGGAGACGCAGAAGGATTTGAAGAAAAGTGGTATGAGAGCTGCAATTGTGGGACATGTTGGGGATGGAAACTTCCATACCATTATGTTGTATAATCAGAGTCAGAGGAAGAAGGCGGAGGAGGTCGTGCATCGCATGATCAAGATGGCTGTGGAGATGGAAGGCACAGTTACGGGGGAGCATGGGGTGGGGTTAGTGAAGAGGGATTACTTGGACCATGAGCTGGGGGTGGAGACTGTGGATGCTATGAGAAGGGTATGTTTTCTCCTGGCCCATTTTGTGAAATCGTATACTAACTTTCTTTCTCGCGCCAGCTGAAATTGGCTTTCGATCCGCTGTGTTTGTTGAACCCTGACAAGGTTTTTCGTGTGCAAAAGCCGCAGCCGGGTGAGGTGGATAAATGGTAGTATGTATGTAGATATTGAATACATAATCCTTCTCCCTCACGTGGCTTATAGTGTAAGCTATGGGTGTACAGATATTGAAAAGTCGTTCTTTTTACGTACGCCACTTACTCTTCTCCTCCCTTAGAGTTCGCGCAGGTTTCGTGTTTGTATTGTATTTGAGGGTTTCTGAGTTGCGGTGGTCATGTTTTTGCGTCGTGTGTCTTTTATAAACACACCGGTGATTCTACTCAACCATCGACCGGGGGTTTTTTTAGCTTTTGCATTTCTCCCAACCACGGCGGCTGCGGGGCGTGTTTCCTCGGCTGGGCCATCCAAAACGCCGGGTCTGGAAAAGGGAGAGGCAAAGCAGCGATCGTCAGCCACCGAAATTCCTCGGAAGCCACGATGTAACTGGATGTTTTGGCTAGCTCTCAGGGTTGAGGATTGGAAGTTGCTCCAGTTCTACGCCATCAGACTGATGCCGTAGACCTTAGTGGGATCGAGCCCCAGGGCGGGCTGGTCAGTTTGAGAATGACTTGAGTCAGTAGAGAGGTGGATTGTGATTTCTGGCTTTGTTGTGAAGTTTGGAGGGGATGTTTCCTATCACGGAAGAATGAAGACGGACCTCGTTCAGCTGGATTTGGTATCATGGTCCTGACACTACTGAGCAGCTCTCGTATAATATTTTCACATCATGCGATTCTATTCAACCACATTAAATCGCCTTGTTGGAATATCCACTCTTTATTTACTTTGTTTACTTTCAATTTGCACCTGTCTATTTTCGGCGTTTGTTTTTTGGTACCCATCCGAGATCTCATATTGTTACTACCAACAAATCTTTCGATACGCTCAATTCTCTCCGGCTGCTTGGCGGTGCTTTAGCCAGATTGTTGGGTATTTGCCTTCATGTAGATTAATTCTCGGCTTACCGTAACACGGATGCGAGGCGATTACTTGTTACCTAATAAGCGATGTTTCTTAATTGTTCTACCTTGCGACGTATAGCCTCAAATGAGTTTTGGGTGGGTGTTGGTCGTCTACGAAGCGTAGCCTCGTTGAATAGAACACGTGCTCTGGACTTATTGTCCTAAGTGTGAAGCGCAGATGGAGGGACGGTGTCAGCCCACTGATGAGATATCTTTTCTCTCCTTTCAACTCTGCAATATTTTTACTCTTCTGGCGAATTCCAACTTTTTCGTACCTGTTAGCTTCTCTCCTCGAAGGAGGTTGAAACAAAAGCCGCACAATTTGGGAATAAGCATCCTCAAGGCACAGATACTTCGGTTATGCAAATATATGGGCTGGGCTTCGTATTCATGCACTTCAGATGTCCCTCTTAAAATTCCATCCCTCGGGTGATCTACAACTAGGCAGTCAGTCAACTCATACATTCGCTTCACGGCCAAATCCGATTCCCTCCGCGCAAATGAAGCTATTCTGCGTTCCCCACTCCAACTCATATTATCAAGTACCAACTGTCACCGCCACTCGTGGTCAGTTTCCAACCACAAGGAATATATTACGGGAGGAATATGGTGAGATCTCTCATATAATTAAGTACTTCAATATCCGTTTAAATCATGGACCTTGCATACCAAGTCTTGTTTAATACTTACTTCATTTACTTCATGGCTTATTATTCTTTATACCACCCTTAGAGAATCGCACTGACTGACTACCCAAGATTTGCCAGGCAACAGAGTGAACCTCACATTCTCGAAGACTTGTTCCCTTGCCACAACTTCAACATAATATCCCTAATTTGCGTTCCGCTTCGGCCTGACCGACCTGGACATTCATCTTTTGTTGGTTTAGATTAACTTATATGGGAGGACCATCAAATGGTATTCGGGCGTCTTTTCCATTGGTTTGACAGATTTTCCCTCTATTATTAGAATCACCCTTCGCTGGTTTCGCTTCCCTTTACCATGCTCGATTTACCGCAGCAACACCAATACGATCTTTGGCAAAACATACGATCCCCGAAATTTGGAATTTCCATCCTTGTTGCCTTGAGGAGACAATGTGAGCAAGTCCTGTCTTGAACGATGTCTATATAAACGTTACCACCTAGAAGGTAAATGATCATCATCGATTCTCTAAATATTGTCAACAATCGATCGACTCTCTCACTCATCATGTACACTGCAGCTCTTCTCATCATTCCTGCTCTTGTAGCAGCCAGTCCTTTGAACTCGGACTACACTCCTCTTCAGCGACGTGCCGATCCTCCTGTTGATCAGATCACCATTGTTTCCGCTTCCTCCTCTGGAAATGGATGTCCTCAGGGAACCGTTAGCACCAGTTTGTCGCCCGATAAGACTGTACGCCCTGATGCCTTCCCAAGAAGCAAAGAAATATCGCTAATTCGGTGCTAGTTGATTACCTTTGGATTTGATGCTTTCCGTAAGTAGCAACCAAATTTCAGGTGCTGTGTGCCCTTGAGCCACTGTCAAGCGAGTTCTTGAACGAAACATACGCCCCATGATTTATGCGAGCTCGATCTCCGACAAATTTCATGAATGAACAGAAACTGACGACTCGACTTCATAGAGGCTTATATTGGCCCCGCCGCGGCTCAGGCAGACAAAACTAAGCAATGCCAACTTCATCTCTCCTTGAAGTACCCAGGTGGTTTCCAGTACGCCATCACCGACGCCACCTACCACGGTTACGCTCGTCTCGACGCAGGGGTAACCGGTAATTTCCTCTCCACCTACTACTTCTCGCAATCTGCCTCCTCGACTGTATGTTTATTCCCTCCTTCCATTCTACACAAAAAAGCACAACTGACATATTTCAGTGCACGACCAAATCCAGCATCTCCGGAGCAAGCTGGCTCAACGGCGACGTCTACACCAAACACGACGAAGTCGAAACCACAGCAACCATCTGGTCTCCCTGTGGCGACACCGGCTTGCTGAACATCAATAACCGTATTGCGCTGACCTCTACTAATACCAAGGCTTCGGGGGAGATCTCGAATGATGATGCTACAGTTGCTTTTACGCACCAGGCTCATGTTTCTTGGAGGCAGTGTACTCCGTATGTGCTCCCTCCTCCCCTCCGACATCATTTCCTCGGATGAAAGAGATACATACTAACATCAAACAGAGGCGGTGCCTCAGGCGGTGGAGTGTTTAATCCTGGTCCGGGTGGCGCATCAACGATGGCAAGTGATACCGCTACGCCTGCTCGTGATGGCCCACCGAGCCAGTTCTCGACGGTTCCAGGGGGGAGCACGGTGATTATTCCGGGTGGGAATGGTGGTTTTGGGGGGTCTACTGGTTCTGGTAGTTCTTGGACGATTGGTCCTGGGAGTACTACTATTACTCAGGGTTAGGCCTTTCTTGGGTTGGGATGGGTGGGTCGATATCTTTGGTGAAATGCTTGATATTGTTGTGTGGATGACGGTTTGTATTGTGTGTAGATAGGAAAAGGGATATGGTTCTTGTTTGTGGAGAGTTTGATATGTCAATTTTTATAACGACAACAACCTACAATTAGTAAGATTGCCGTACGCACGCTTGCTTGTGGGCATTCCCCTCTAAATTAAACCCTCCACCATCCACAATTAAACTACCAAATTCAGGTAGATAGATAGGCCTTAGTTGAGCGCTTGACCACCTGGGCTCCATTTGATGAGGTGCGAATAGCCTCACAAGTGCCCCAGGGGAAGTTTGACCCAAATAATATATCTTCACTCGTACGTGAACTAGAGTACAAGCAGTGGATTGCTTCTTCTTGCTCGCTTGAAAACCTTTGATGCTGTGAGTCGGATGGTTATGATTATTCCGATTCACCACAAAGTCACCGAATGCTCTTGAAACTCTAACTATCTTTCTATTGGTTAAAGGATGCAAAAGAATGGTCATCTGTCAGCTATCAAGCGCGACTGATAGTCGCCCCTCAGCTCCTCCAGAAATATCAACACCAACCCTTCAACTTCTGTCTATCAAAAGGGCTACTACCACCATCGCGCACACCATCCCACCACCATCCCACCATCTCAACTTGAATGTCATGTCCAGGACTCCTCCCCGTTCGATTCAAAAACAAGCTCTGTTTCCTGCAACACGGACGGGCACTGCCCACGATCATGTGGTTGTCCTGTCAATCCAAATCTACCACTAAACCACCCATCCGATCCCCGTCTTTACAGCAGCATAACTGGCAAGTTTCGACTGATCCCTATCGACACCTGGAGTTCTCTCATCGCAGCTCATCAAACTCCTCAGCTCCCAGCACTTGCAGTCGACGACCTCAATACATACCCACAAGTAAAGCAAAAGATTTGGAGTGAATACACAACAAAATGCCAAGAGTACATTCAGGGTACCTCAAATACTGAGCTGAACCTGCTTTGTGTGATCTCTGCCTTTGTGCCTGCTAGTTTGTTTGCCCTCAAGGGATTGGCGAGCATGTTCCCTCCAGAGCTAGAGCTGGACATACATCATGTAAATGGTATCGTCAACCCAGCAATGGAGCAAATTTGCATTCTAAGCCACGTGCCAACTTCCATCGCGCAAAAGCTATGCTGCATCATGGCTAATCCTGCTTTCCATGATACTGATGGCCTTGGTCTTCTTTATCACACGTTCAGATACACAGTCCATGCTCGCTCAAAACCTCATCTCCCGGCGCCTAAATATGGTCAATTATCTATCATGATGAAAGCAAAACGCGTTGCTCAGCAGTACGAACTACTGGTGCCAGGAGGATCGATAGATTATCGCTTTTGGCTGCCGCATATGAGCAAGTCTATTCAGCTAGGCGGCCGAATTCAGCGAAATTCTTGCGTAACGTCCGATATCCGAACATTCATACTTCAGCAGGCATTCTGGAAGAGGATCTCGACATGATCATATCTGCCTGGGACAAATTTGCTTTCGACAACCCTGTATATCGTCTTATAAGTATGCAGCACTACTGTGATATGTGGACGCAAGAGCATACGGAGGTGGGAAACCCTGCTGATTTGAGTGGGATTGCTGAGATGGTCCTCAATTCTAAGCGCAGCAAGGTCATGTGTGTGAAACTTATGATCAAAAGAGATATTTTCATTGACCAAATGCGGGCTGCAGTACCAAACCCTATGAACGCACCACTGCTTACACCTAATGCAGCACCTCCACAGTGCGAATTGCCAGAACACACTACGGAACCACAATCTCGCAAGGAGACGACGAAGCTCGTGACGGCTGTAAAGAAGGAATCTGCAAAGGGAGAGATGAGGACTTCTGCCAAGAAAGACATCACTAAAACGAAGACAAACGAGAAGCACTCCAAGATCTCTAAAATTCGGAATTCTGGTGGCGATGGCGGCGTTGCTTCCCGTACAGGATCAAGAGCCTTACAAGATAAGTGATTGTGGACACCAGATAAATTTGGCAGGGTGATTTGTCAAGGGAGGGGGAAGAGTATGTTTGAGTATGATCATTCCAAGTTAAACATAAATAGGTAGCATCTTTCAATGAAAGAGTATTGTACCAAATTTTCCATTCCAAGTAATTCTTTTGTTTTCCTTGAAGTAGCTTTCCCTGTCCGTTGCTAAGAAGAAGCGGAGTACTATCTATCGTTCGGAGTTGTGGTCGTAACCATACGCGTAGCTTACCAGGAGCTGTTCCTTGCGAAGAAGAGGCGCAAGATGAAGATTGTAGATGCTAAACGTGGCAATATCTTTTATTCACCACTGTAAGTTTCTATTCATCTATTTCACCAAAATGCAGAGAGAGTTCTATTCAGGCACACGGACCATATATAAGCGAGAGCAAATAGAAGTATTTAGGACCAGTAGCGTGACACCCGTAGCATCCATAGATTGTTTGCAACGTGAAAATTGAGTATGGTTGAGTAGGGTGGGGTACTAAAGTACTAGCTGGTTGAGTCTTTTTGTTTTCTGACGCTGATTATGTGTACAAACATTTTGCAGTACAAGTAGAGTTTTGAAACTTGACATATTTAGTAAACTAAATGCAGTTACAGTAGTAGTTAGAATAAGAGAATACAAAGTATAGAATTTGAATGCTAGTAATGGGTTTTCTAATTTGCCAATTGGCGAATGAACAATCTTCGAATGGCTCTTCTTTTTTTCAAGAGAAGTTTGCCCAAACACTTCGAGTTTGATCACGGCTCAGATGTCTCAATAAATACACTCTCTGGTAGTTCGGAAAAGTCAATTGGGCGAGTAATTGTGAACCGCGTGGAGGAAGATACTACTGCTCTTTGTCTAGAGAATTGGCGGTCTCTTATTCTACTCGGCGCGTCAAAACCAACGGTCGTTGATCGCGCGTGCAGGAGTTCAGAAACGCGATCATTCCCCTGTACCCATCTAGGTTACCAGTATTATCTAGAAGCCCCATACAAATAGAACAATTACACGAATGGTTTAGAATAACTGTGACTTTCAACTTCTTATTGTGTTAGGTGAAATAGGACAATTGAGTCACTTGTGCCAGGCTTGTCGCGCGATGACTTTTGATACTGCAGTTTGTACAGAATAATTTCAACGTCTACAGCGGCATTGTCTTGAAAGTTTTCCAGATTAATCCCAAATAAACAAGATACAAAAAAACAATTGCGAGTCCTCAAACCAGCAAAAGGTTCGTGACCGTGCCGTTGGACATAATAATCCTAAGATGATTACTCTTCAAGCACGAATCATTACTTCCTTCCGTGACAACTGGCCCAAATGGGCGGCCAGTTGCACCACCAATAGGCGTATAATTGGTGGATTTGTAGTTGGGGAAGCCTTATTTGTCTATATACAATAGATCAGGGCTGATGGTGTGCCGCGGAATAGCCGCACGCTATGTATGTAGTCGGGAGGAGGAGGAGGATGGCCACGTGGATGGCGTACGTCAATGGGTACAGTACAAACAAGAATCTCAAATAAATAAAAGCAATAAATTTTCTGTCCTCCAAGAATGCAAGGGCTAATCTTTTTAGTCAACCTAGATATCTGTTGCCTTCTTATAGCACTATTCATCAAATTGTTCGGGCTTCGCTGTTGTAAGCAGCGCTGTCGCAGACTCTTATTACAATTAAGTCAAAACAGATTGGAGTGATGTATAGCTTTCAACAAATAGCGCTTCAAATTTGCACGAGAATGGCTTCAGAAACGGCGGAGCTTCTGTGGCTCGTGTTGCGTGGTACAAGTTAGAACAGCAGATCTCTCCTCTAATTTGTACCCAGCCTGTAGCAATGACAATATGGGTCTTTTCATCTGGGCTTGGGTCTTTGGCAAAATCACCGAATGCTGTGATGAGTTCCCTGTATGCGGTATCGGCCTGAAAGATTGCATCCCCCCACATCCCGCCGAGCTTGAACGTCGGAAATTCGATGCTCACAACGATCCCGAAGTCTCCTGGACCCTCCCTCAAGGCAATGAATAAATCAAGGTGAGAATGCTTGTTGACGGAGATTATTTCTCCTGACGCGAGAACAATTTCGTAATTGATAACGCTGTTACATACAAATCCCCTCTCAGCGCTAGCTAAGAAGTATGATATTCCACCTAGTATCCCGTTGGAAGAATCAAAAGTTTCAACTCGATTGAACATGCCTCCGAGTGTAAGTCTGCCTACTCCAACCTTTGAAACCCTCCCTCAAACTATAGCAAGTCCACCCTCGCTAAGCTTTCGGTAAACATCTCCCCATTTTGCACCAACTCCAATAGAAGCGACCTCTTTCTTAGAATCGAGAGAGATACAATTGAGTTTGGAAAGGTCAACTGGGAGACCGCCCTGAGTATTCGCAGGCCCCGCCTATGTTGTGTGACCACCGCCTCTCAGCGAGTCTAGTTTTGTCTAACGAGCGTGAAGCTCGGATGTACTTTAGAACATCGGAAACCTACCAGAGCTGTTTCAGGCTGGAAGATACACGCTGGAGAAGCTTCGTTTTCAAATGCAGTGAAGTAGGAAGTTTTTGTCCAAGTATAACGCGAATTTCCGGGGCAATAAACGTGGCTGGGAAAGGCCTGTGAGAGTACTGAAAAATCCATGGATAATTTGTGAGAACTAGTGGGTTTGAGTGAAGATACAAGATGAGATGAGATAAAGTGAAGGTCACTTGTACTATCCTGTTTCTTCTCATTGTTGTGGTAAAATTGGCTCATTAGGCTCTCATTAGATCACACCCAAGTACCTGCATATTTTATCGCTGCTCCGACTGTTGGAATTAAATCATATGACCCTATTTAGGGTAGACATGCGCAGAAGACTTGAAATGCGGAGTTTTTCTTGCAGACATTTATTGCAAAAAGGACCGCTACTTTAGAATCTCCGACCATTCACCGTGTTGGTGCAGATACTAACCGAAGGGGTGGTAAGAGAGGCGGGCATTACTCTGTACACCCCTGAGTTATAAAAATATTATACTAAAGACCTACAACTAAATCAATTACACGAATAGTTCAGAATAACCAACAATTATTACTCCTTATTACCCTAGTTCAAATAGGATAATTAATAAGTTATACCAGACTTTTGGTATAATAACTTTTGGTAGGGTGTATAGAGCAATGCCCGCCTCTCTTACAAGGATCCTCCTACTTTTCGGCCTCTATTTCCTGGAGCTTGGAGCTCACATAAATGCTCTCGACGCCTAACAACCTAAATAGCGGGTCCGGATTTGTCTGAGAAATATTTGGCTCATATTGCTCTCATCGTCAGGCTCGTGGTTTGGACGAATGTCGCCATAGGAATCAATTCGTTTGCTCACACAGACCCATGGGTAGCCTCTACAGTAATGCCCCAGTGCTTACTGTAGCGAGGTATCTTGGTAATGCCATGGGGGGAGATACGTGTGCGGGGACGGGGGGCAATCTTTTTATCCGCCAAGATACATATTTTCAATAACAAATATATCACCATTTGAGATCCCATTACATGCACCAATCGAGCGCAAAATTTGAGGAGTCATTTCAACATTACATTATGTATACTAAATAGCTATTCATAAGAGGGATTACTTAGGCCGGGTTTTGGATCTTAACAACAAAAGCACCACGCTCAATGGAGTTAATGATAATGTGTCCTGATGGGAACCCAGCATAAGATGACCAAGCTCCTACGAAACCCAGAGCGGAAATACCCGTCGAGTTGTCGTCTAAAGATGTGTTAGTCTCAGTGTGATCTCAACATGGTTCGTAGAAGTTCCTTACTTTCTGGGTACATATCAAACCACGCAAACTCCGTGACACCACTCCCAGTTGGGTTACCTGGGATACTGGAGATATCTAAGACAGATATACCAGCACCGTAGTTGCTTTGATAAGCGTAATTGCCGTACACATATTGGTTGTGGTCGTTGGCAATTCTTGGTGCCTCGTAATAACCTGTTTGTTTGGGTGATTCGAGGTCGGAGATATCCCAAATATAAGTGATAGCGTGGCCGGGTGTACCGGGGGATCTGCCGTCAATTTCATCGTATTCGTCATCAAGGATGAGAAAGTTCTGCCATTCCTTGTCGAGAACCCAGCCCTGGTGGGCATATGTTGCTCCTTCGTAACCAGTGACTGAGATTAGCTCAGGGAATTGTTTGTCGGTGACATCGTCTGATTATGTTTAGCCTCGAGTAATTCAAATGTGCATGTTAGGAGGGTTCTTACAGATGGAAAGCGAGTCTTCGTTGTAGGCATAGCAAACCTCCCTGCCCAAGTATCTGGTATCTGGTCCTTTGTACATCAAGCATTGAGCATCGTGAACATAACCATCCATGGGGGCACAACCAGGTGAGACAGGAGCACTTGGATCAGTCAGGTTCAAAAAAATCAATCCACTTTGACAAGCTGAAGTTCTTGGTCTTGCACCAACAACATAAGCGAAGTCTGAATCGTCATTGGCGAGCACATTGTGTGCACGACCGTCCGGAAGGTTTCCATAGAATCCAGTCAAGTCAGTGGCCGGGTCAAAGGTCTTCGGTCCCTTTCTGTAGTCTAGATCAAGAAGCTTCTTCAGATCAAAGATTTGAATGTGATGGTTATATGATTCTGATCCAACGATGATGTAGTGCTTGAAGCGTCTGATTTCTCTCCAAACGGCGGCTGCTGCGCCTGGTGTTTGAGGGAGACGTCCAAGGTATTGTAGTTTTCCTGCATTGGTAACCTGAATTGCCGTTAGTTAATGATTCTTATGCATTTATAGCCATGCCATCAAGATATACCTCTGCAAATGCAGCTCCATCGGCTTGTGCAATGATAGCAAATTCACGGCCGTCGTCTGAGACCCATCCCCATGAGGATGAGCCAATTGATGTATTTGGCGTCATCTGACTTCCAAGAGCTGTGTGAGAAAGGAAATGATGCAAGTTGATCTGTGCAAGAAAGTATGTCAGCTGAGTAAACCTTACTACGTTGGCGTGAAAAACATACATTGTTGCAACGGAAGAAGTTTGTGGCTTGGTCGCGGAACGGAACTGCCCTTCCATCTCTTTCAAAATCAATCAGTACTATCACATGTTGAATAAACGTATGTGGCTCTACTGACCTACACTGAGCAAAATGAAGCTCAACCCAGGGATCTACGATGGCCTCTGCCCCCATCAATGCGTTTTGGGCATTTATCTCAACCTGCTCTGCATCTCTTGCAGCCCAAAAGGTTTCCTTCTCACCCATGATCTTTTCGTGCATGTACCCATTATCGTAAAGAGCCGCTGCCATTTCCAGATCTTTGGGGATTTCCTTGGCCAAGACCAAGGCGGAAAGTCCAAGGGAAAATGCTTTAGTGAACCTCATTTTGACGAAACCAGTTGACAGTATCGTTCAGAAATTTGGGATGGAACTACAAGAAAAGAAAACCGTTACCTATGGTTTGCTATATATGACATTGTATGCTATAACTCTTTCTTCCCAAATAGGAAGGCCAAAAATATTACGCGATAACACTTTCGAATGGCGAACTGTCAGTTATCTTTTGCAGAATCTCATGCAGAATCGATTAATTACTGTCTTTTGCCTAGAACCACAACCAGTGATCTTCGAGAAGGTGCATCTCTTGCATATTTCTTGATGGCTGGTGCTACCGAGTGATTATTCGTCAACTTAATGTCTCTTGCAGAGCCAAGCATTGTTTGGGGAAAGTCGTTAAGTCTTATGATCTTGGCGTACCGGGAATTATGAAAAATACCAAGACAGCACAATCTCTTGGCCTGGTACTATAGAGCCACCAAGATCAGGCTAAAGGCAAGGTAGAAAGGGTGGGATGCCAATATAATGGAAAGCGCCGTAGATGAGGGGAATGCTTGTGAGGCACAGTCGGCATTGGGATCGAAATCAGAGAAACTCCTATTGTTCTATCAAGACTTATCTTAATACATCAAACTTAGAAAATTTCGTGATAACTTATCAACTTTTCAGGGGCTATTAGAATATATCCAAAGTATTTTAAAAAGACAAAACAAAAGGGAGAAGCGTGAAAGAGCTATTGTTGCTGCTGTTGATGTCTACTCAGCAATTAATCACCACATTAAGGAACAGGCTACGATGAGATTAGACCATTTTGGACGTGGCCTGTAAGCTTAACCTTCTTTCTACATTTTAGGTTGACCTGATTGCGTAGGACGCGGTAGTGTATACTTCATTATTTCATTGGTGGAATGCAGAAAAGGCCTCACACAATAACCTTACTCAATATAAGGGTAACCTTAATTATATGCTTAACTCTTTTTTGGGTCCCAAAAAGCCTGTGGTATTTAAAAGAACCTCACTATGGATATCTAAGAATATCCTCGTTTCTATGTTTACAAAATCCAGTCGCGACTCGCAAATACATTCTTGCGTGGCGTCCTTTTCTTTTTTATTATTCATAAAGCTTCTGAGGTCTTTCGTTATTTTTCCTTCACAGTCCCACCATACCTTTTTGTGTCTTATGCCTAATTGATGGAAGCTTAATCAACAAACTTTGAAGCTTTCGATAAGAGCCCGGCGACAATTTATACATATGTCAAGCATACCCATACTTTAGATTATGAAATCTGGACGTTTTCATCTGAGTCAAATGTGATATTCGTAAAAGCGAGTCCATGATTCGTTTGTTTCATTGGGAATCGGTGCCAACCTTTGATAGAGGCGAATCAGGGGAGTCGAATGCGACCTAACCAACCCTGCTTCGTTTAAAACCTAATCCAGGAAAAGCGTGTCGGCCGACTCGGCCCAATCTAGTGGCATACTACGAAGTAGAGCGTCGTTACAGATTTAGGTGTCGGCCTTGCCCTTAAACCTTTCAATGTGGTTGTTCTTCACGTGTGAAATACTTGAATAGGCAGTTGGAGAGAATTGAATTGGAGACATACTCTCTGAAAATCACGGACAAATGCTTGGACGGGCCTGTTGGTTGGGCCTAAAGACGTCTTCGCTTACGAGATCAAGGAGGTTCATCGGCAGGTACATCAGTAAGATATCTGGGCAAAGATGCGGGATCAGGCAATAACACATCATTTCTCAGGGGAGCAGGACCCGTGGATTCAAGATTAATCAGCAATGATGCTCTGGCAAGTATTTATCAAGCTTTTTCTGCTGTACCATATCAGATCGGGCCTTACACATGAAAATCATGTGTTATAAAAAACCAAATAAACCGCACTTGTTCATTTGGTGTCACTCAGTACTCATAAGGAGCCAGTGGTTTGCAATCAGTCCTTTTAAGTGGTGCCGAATTGTATAGCAAAGGGAAGTTAGGAGCCAGTCTTACACAAACGCTTATTGCCAGTGACAAGTCACGTGAATGGCAAGCCGAGCAGGCTCGCTCGCTAATTGGATGTATCCATATCGTAAGAAATGTAATACCAGGGAATCTGAAAGCTTAAATTTTACCGCGTATTTCATGCCCTTATGAATCACCGGCACTTTGATAGCATAGCTAACACAACCTCTCTGGCCAAGCATTGTCCTGTCATGTCCGTGTTTACCATTATGTCAGGGAGGAGATAATAATCTCCAGATTGAGAATCTATCCAAACCTTCACTGTAAATCCAATCAAAGGACCGGATTAGAAACACCTAATACTGGATATTAGACCGAGCGCCAATGTTTGAATGAGTCTTCGATCAATTACGGACGTATCTAGAAGCGGCGCTTTTCCTTCACTGCGTGCCCACCACTTGATGTGAAATCAGAAGAAAACGTTCATCTGCTTGGATAAATCCACGCATTGTATTATGTGTCCTATCGTGGCCTCCGTACAAATCCGAAGAAAGGAGCAAGAAAAAAACACGTCGCAAGTAATTAGCACAAGTTATCCAATGAAAACGCTAGTGGTTTGTGCTCAAAGCCTCTCCCCTGCATGGCCTGTCCCTTCCAGTTTATATAAACACAGAAAACAACGCGCACTTGATGTGTATAGAAATGGATGCGAGAACTGTGTCAAATTGAGGCTCAAATTTTTGACAACGTGACCTAGCTTGCCAAACAATTTTGTTTGTTGGAGAAAATTTTATTTTATTTTATTTTATTTTATTGCTATTTAACGTCAAGCGGAGTCTAGCTCGCGTGGGCTAGGTCCTAGAAGAGTCCCAATATGGGCAAATGACGCTAGGGGGGTGCCCTAGGCTACAGGGGGTGTAAAAGAAGAGACGCTAATTTACAAGAACCAGTTTAAAGAGAAGCCCCACTTTCGGGACAGCCCTTATCCTTAATTAGTTTTGAGAACCAGGGTACAACAAATGAAATA